AGGAGTCCCATACTAGGACGAGACGCCTGTCTATTCCTTCCTGGTTTACAACGGTAGTCTAGTTTAGATCGACTCGTGATTCAAATGTGATAATCTTAATTAGACACCTACTAAAAACGAGGAAGGAATGAATAAATGAACTGGAAGAATATCGCGTGGTTGTTGCGAATTGATTGAAGGTAGGGGTGTACATCATTGTGTGCTAGCCCAATGGTTTAAGGGTTATAGGGTTCGTTGAGAGAACTGAATGCCCTCACTTCGATCCTCAGTGGAGAAGTGGATAAGCACTGTCACTAATATATATCACTCTAGGACTAAACAGTTGACCAGTCCTTTCTGATTTTTAATTATCCTATAACTAAGGTCAATCCTTTGATGTAAACTATGAAAATTCAACTATCTCCACAAACCCATACAGCAAAACTATAGGATTCTAAATTCATACTTAACTATTTTTAGTCATGGACTTTCATTTTAAAAAGCTGTAAAAAGTTATCTCCTATTTAGAAAAATTTCAAATACTTCAAAGTCCTTATCACTAGTAACTTTTCAATTTACGTTTAATTCCCAAAGAAATCTACCATTTACAGTTATCCAATTTGATTATGATAACAACATAACTGCTAGGCAACATTGACATTTTTTTGAGATATACTAAGAATATATATTTTTAAGAGAACTTCGTCCAGTACGTGACATTATACTTAAACATATCAATGAATCACTGTTTTCTGTGTATGTGACTTATCTTTAAAAGTTTACTGTGTGTTGATAATTGTATTAAATGCAGACACACAACGTAACGCGCGCAAGCAAGCGTACATGTACACATACAGGTTTTCCTTACAGTTATGATCATAAGGTTTATCTTTGAGTGGTTGAATGAGAAGTAGGTGTTTTAGAAAACAAATGTGAGAAAAAATATTTATTACTTATCCATTTCTGTAATGTTTACTCCGAGCTAGTAACTACGACAAAACAGAGAAACTCATTGAAAATATTTATCGGGTAACGACTATTGAAGGATAAATGAGATGATAATCGTATTATATGGCGAATCAACTTGAATTGTAAGTATCCGGATTTTTGAGTTCAATATAGTAGGTAACTTCAAGAACACTCAAAATTAAACAAAATAACTATAACTACAAATCAACATTATGTTGAGAACCGTCGATGATTTCTTGAAAAAGTTTTCGAAAAAAAATACAGAGAATACGTAGAACAATCAGAGTTCTTTAGAAACGTTCAAGGGGGTTTTAGAAAATACCAATGCAACTCCTTGTGCGTATGACGTATTTTTATTTTCATGGCCGTAATACATCAGCACCCCTGCTGAAGCTAGTCTATTTTATCTAGCTTTTGTCCAACGGATTTCACTAATTTCAAGTAACCCAAGGCTTCTTATTTCCGCAGCTATTCGAATGATATACCTATCTTGCACATTGTGTGAACACTATATTTATCTGCTCCAGTTATTGTTCAGATTATCAGGAGGATAATCGCCTTCGTGACTTCCGAAAACTCTTGGCTTTCATCGTGAAGCGATACAACTCTTATAAATAGAGATTCTTCAGCTCTCAGGACAGAGTTTAAACGGTCCAAATGATTTTTTTTGATTGTTATTTTCTAAGTAATGTACCTTTTCCTCCAGGTGGAGTTATGTCACATTATTTTAAAAATAAATAAGAAATTTTTCAGTTGGTTTAAACACACCTCACAACCTGTATTCGAATCTTAAGAAACGAGTGAGCTGGTTTATTTTTTGTGAGATTCAGTCATGAATTATAAATAAATCTATAAAAAATCGGTACAAGGGTTTACGGAGATTGTTGAATTTTTATAGCCTACATCACGGACTGACATTAATTAAGGAACTATTCAGGATTAGATAGGACTGGACAACTCTTTCGTTATAGTACGGTACTTCTCGGGAATACACATCCGCAACCTATCTAGAAATTGAATCCAGCATCTCCAAACCTCCTCTTGAAACCTTAACTTTTATACCAGTAAGTCGTCACTGGGTTCGATCCCTGGCAGAGTAGCGAATGCATACAGCTGGAAAGAGTCATACTAAAACGAAATAAATGTTCATTGTCTCCTGTATTTCAATATTTGGTTAAATAATGTCCATCCGTGATACAAACTATAAACTATCAGTTAAAAACCTATTCTATCGAAAGAATGAACAAAACAAGTTATCACTATCTTTTATTGTTACCATCTGTTATAATTTATTTTGTGACCAATATTGTTCAATAACACTTAGATGAAGGTAAATTTATCCTAAATTTGTCAGGCATGTAGTCGTTCGTCTTCACGTATACAAAGTTACACACAAATACACCCAACATTACTGACTTAAACTTATGCCAAGTTATCGACACTATTAAATTATTTCTTACCAAAAGTAAATAGTCACTTTTTAAAACAATAAATCATTGAAAACACACAAATATGTATGCGTGATTACATACATTAATTATCATTAAATTAATGTGTATAGTTAAAATATTATGACCTTAAGTGGTTAGTACACATACAATAATTATGATAATATAAGGTTAGTGATAACATCTAAAGATATTCGTTTAACCTGAAAAAACAACAACAATTAGGAACCAAGATATCCCAGTTACTAAAAGTACACACTATAGTTCATATATGAGGTTAAAATAAGTAATCTCAAACTTTTAAGTTAAGTACACTCATCATCTATATCAGTTGAGCTGAAATCCAGTAGATCATTGGACCAACTAATCCTGAATATTTATTATCAGTAGGGGTTTTGTGGAGATTTAGTATTTTCATAGTTGGAAGCGTGAGTCAATTGAAGCTAAACTACCATCGAAAATCTGGAAGCACTGGACGGCCGTTTCGTCCTACTATTGGACCTCCAACTATAATCCTGAATATATTATCCTAGTTAAATCTGTCCTAAAAATAGACGGTATGTTTTTTTCCTGACGATTTAGAAGTCCGAGAATATTTTCAAATTTATAACTGTTCAACAAACTGATTGTATCGAGTACTTCCGATTATTTTTCCCGTTTACTCAGTGAGAGAGCACTGGATATTAGAATGTAATTTTTATCTAAAGACTTCATTTCAAGCGTCTAAAGTTATCTATCTATCTGGCTACCACGTAGCGTAGCCGAATACACAGGACTCAAAATACAATTTAGTCTACGTTAGGACTTGAAATAAAATCACTAATTGAAATCACATTCTAATATGTACTGCTCACTTAATAACTGAATGAAAGTTGGTTGAAAATGTTGGACATAGTGCATATATTAAACGTTAAAAACGTTGTAGATAACCTCAGTCGTTCAGAATATAATCATACTTTTGAATTATAAAAAGACTATTACACTAATTAGCCAATGAGTAATAATCAATTTTATGTTATCCAATTAATAATCTTGATTGGATTCTGTATATCAAGAGATAAAAATGGTCACTGTCGATAATAGAAATGATCTTCAGATAGAATGATGTAAAATATGAAATGCTCTTCGATTGACACACTCTACAGGGAAAATGGAATCATACATAAACTGGAAAATGATTGTCTCCAACTATCGATTTGACAAAAATAAGTAACAAATGAAAGTTTCGTTATTATTTTTTTGAAGTACATAGAAAAAACCTATTCAACTTGTTATAAAGGGAAATGGATGGTGGCTAGCAGTGGAATCCAGGACTCGCGTTTTTTCCTATCTGGGACGCGTCAGTTGAATATACCTGCATCCCAGAGTTGATGTTCATTCCGGAACTGGAACACAGTACATTTGCTTCAAACGCCATCGCGTTATCCATTTAGTTACTGAGCCCAGATAGCCACTGATCAGTCGCAATCCAAACAACCAATACAAAATGAATTAAATCTGTTCAACTTACATTTCTTTATGTAAAACTTAATTAACATTTTGTTAAAATTGTTTTCAACAATTACAAACTATTATATTTATTTCAAAGAGTTGAATGGTGGTTAGCAGTGGAATCTAGTATATGAGTCTTACCCTTTTTGAGATTTGTCGGTTAGATGTACCCGCAACTTAATTTTGTTGATGTTTATATCAGGACTCGAAACCAGTAACTCTCTATTTAAAAACTTAAAGCTTCATTCACTTAACCACTGAGTCCGGATAGCTACCGGCTTGTGCAAAGGGAATGAATTTTAATGAAATTTGTAAAGGTTCATTGAATCCACTCGTTGATGTTAAGGATTTCAATTGACCAGTCCTTTATTTAGCATATGCACACTTTGAGCGGATTGTTTCGATATTAGAAGGAGTAACAGCATTAAAATATTAGGCATAGGAAATATAATTCAAGAAGAAAGAATGAACTGGTGGGGTTGTAAAAAATTTGATAGCTCAAGGGAAACAAAGAATAAATATATCTGAGACACTGCTACTGATTCTAAGAATTATCACTCAACGTCTCTATTCACTGGTTACGGTGATTGCGCGGACCTCAGTTATGTAGTACACACCTACCAACTAGGTCCAGTTTTAGATTCAATGACTTCATGTCTTGATATCACTGGGAAAGTTGTTTACTCATAGTCTTCTTTCAAACATCTCTTATACTAGCATATCATGAAGCTTTTGCATAAAACATCTAAGATATTTTCCCATTTAGAGACAATTTTCGTCACTGATTGATGTCACCACCTCATGAACAATCTAATGACGGAGAGAATGAGACAATTGCTTGATCTTAGTGCTAAACTCTTTAAACCAAACCCAGAAATCTCCAGATCTCACAGTGTACACATGGAGTTCAAAACACAAGGTTGGATTCTAATTATTAACATTTAAAACTTCCGTTCGCGATAATTTTGAATAGATTAAACTGTAAAACCTTATTATTATTATTATTATTATCAAATTGGCTTTTGAAGTGTCCATTGCACAGCGTAACTACACAATACTGAGCTATTTTAAACGACGTCAAATGCCACAACAGAAGTAGGACAACCAGTGAATAAAAAAAGTATCATATCATCCATTTACAAATATTGACCAATCACTAAATGGGAAATATGGACCAATCAAAATCCTCCCACAAAATAATCATAATTTTATACTCCTTAAAAACATACTCAATAGATCATTTGAAAATAATTTACCATTAGTTCGTTTACCTTTTTGCCCGAAATCATGTCACATATAAATTATAGTTCAAACACATCTGAATCAGATTTGAATGAAATATCATTTTCATTAATTGATTCAAATGAAGAACAAGAAATTAGCTATGAAGAAGTAGAAGAATTAAAAAATGATATGATAATCGAGAAAGAACGAAGAGAATTGTTGAAAAATACACGAACAGTAGTAACCACATCAGGATCTTTATGCTCATTACCTTTTTCAACTCCTATGGCGATAATATCATCACCACCACCACCCATGTCATCATTATCACCACAGAAACAATTGCCATTGACTAGTAGTCAATTGACTTCAAATAGTGAAACGAATAGAAAATGTTTGGCTACAACAAAATATGATCGTCGTATGGCTAAACAAATGACGGAAAGAAAACGACGTGATCGTATCAACGCGTTATTAGATAATTTGAGGACACTTATCTTGAAATTATTACATAAAAATGTAAGTTCTGATCCATTACTTACTTCTATTAGTAATAATAGTAGTACTATTTCCAATTTTTCTACGGAGTGAGTTTCACTATATCAGATTTTTATCTTGGTTAAACCAACTAGTTATTAGCTATAATATGTTCACTTTTAATGATGTCAGAGATTAAAATTTAAACAATTGTCTCCATACTTAACCCTTAATTTATGTGAAACCATTTGATTTAAAGGTCATTCCCAACTCTGACCAAAATGATATAAATAATCATGTTTTTTTAAACAAAGATAATATTTGGCATGACGGTTGGCTGAAACACTCGATAACTGAAATGGAAATAGTACCTGACAAACAGAAATACACAAGACCGGCATAAGGTACCTTGTCATTAGCATTCGTCAACAGAGGTGGCGAGTGGATATGCTGTGAGTTCTAGGCCAACACCTATCCCAAGCTTGAACGTTAGTTGTTACAGTAGTGGACTGAATAAAAGCCGAAGAAAGGTAGATCAATTGATACCACTAGTCCATTAAGCTATTCACCGACAGTTTGAACCCTGCCGGTAATTACAGAATTTTGGGTTTGGTTCAACTCAATAGTTGTTATTTATAGCTGGAGAAATTGGATGATCTGATCGAAAATTCAGCCTCAACTTTATAGTCATAGTCATTCACTATGTTCCTGAAAGTTCTGAGACTAGTGTTCGCATAATTCATTTTTGTTTGTTCCTTTTCATGTACTTTATTTTTCGTGTTTAGTTTATTATTGGAGTTGATACTAAATTCCCCACTGATTCTCATTTCTTGCCATTATTGTCAAACGTTTGGCTCATTGAACTGACATGTATTCCTAACAGGTCCTATGTTTTCTATGATTAAATAATCTATATATATCCAGGTTACCTGTTCAATATTCGTTAAATCTGATTCCTTAAAATGAATTAAGATTATACGTAAACTACCACTGGCTTCATTGTCTTCCTCTAGCTTGAATCGTTAAATTAAATGGCTTTTTTTCGTGGCTTAATGTGGAATAAAAGTGTCTGATCAATGATGGGAATCCTCAGTATAATAGCTAAATTCTCACTGGGTAACTAAGCGTTCTTCGCTAATCCATCTCAATGTAACTTAATCAGGTAAAATAATTCCCTATGGTACTGAGTGATTTTCACTTTAGACAGAAAGTCATTCGAAATTATAACTGTGGGTCAATAAAGTCAACGTACTCACCCGGTAAATTAGTAATATCTAACTCGATCCTGAGTAAGGTGTTGTTTAGGAAATTGAGAAAACGAAAGGGGAATGTCTGGCGCTTAAAGCGTGCTTGAGGGTACGGAAGATCCATTTAGGGGAATTGGTAAGCCCTATTTCCAAATCACTAGTGCATATGTACTCCAGGATCCTGAGAGAACAACTGGCTTGTGAACCTGTTGTTCATCACTGACTACCATGAGGCCACATCTAACATCGCTCCACTACCTTATGGATTAAAACTTTAAACCAAAGCCTAGGTTAGTGGCTCCATAAGAAAACCACTTTTTTCGGTTTGGACATCCGGGCAGTATCCCAGCCGTCATACACATAGAATAATTTTTGTGGCACGTATATGTTTGGGTGCCCATATATACCATTGTTTATGTGTTTAAATTAAATAAATATCCAAGTATATATTATTGACGTTATCTAAAAGAACTTTGAAAACTTCTTAACTAAACCATCCACTCCAAAGGACAAAACATCTTTAAAATTTATATCATAAACTACAAATATTCATCATGAAACTAATGCAAGACAGATATGAAACATTCCAAAATTCTCAAGAGTTTTTTAAAATTAAAATTCAGTTTATAGTACAAAAAATGAATATATAATTTCTTTCAGAGAAAGAAACTGCTTCTACTAATATTGGATTTGAATTGACAACTACATCTCTGTGCTAATGCGATATGGCAACTCGAACTGATGTAAGTACGTACGAAGTTCTACGTTGTGACTGACTGACCTCAGAGAAAGATTTAAAAACTCTTTCTTTCTATACATAATTTAATATATATTCATTTAATGTTAAGTATGTTCAAAGATCTTTAATTTGATTAAACGAATAGTGACAAGATATATATTTATATCTTTACTTTAATATCAAAACTTAAACATACCTAAATAGGCATGAACTAATAAATTTTGACATAAAGGGTGTGTTTTTTTCTTTACTATTGATTGATTCATTTTTTTTTTTAAAAAAAAAGAAACGTCAAAGCAACTACAACAATAATGAAACATCCATTCATCACAATATATTATTTATATATTTTAAGTATTTAAAAAGAAAGAAAAACTGAAAAAAAATGTTAAAAAAATTACAAATAGATAAATACTCTTTTTGTTTAAAATAAAACAGAATAGAATAAATAAACATAATGCACGTGTATAGTTATCTTTTTCGTTTACAAAAAGAAACAAAAAACAAATAGAGATAAGAAAAAAGAGTATCATTAAAATGAAACTTAATATTTACCTATCAACAGATAATTTACATAGAATGATATTCTTCTTATATTTTTTTTTAAAAAAAAAGAGGAACTACTTGTTTTCCGTATTATTATTATTCATATAGAAGAAAAGATAAATATGAGAAATAGTTAATTATTATATCTAAGCAATAAAATATGATAATTATTGATTGATCTATGTAAAAATTTAAAAATATAACACCTGTATATATATATATATATATATATATATATATATAGATAGATAGATAGATAGATAGATAGATAGATAGAGGGAGGGAGGGAGAGAATTAGGTGGTGTGTATATGCTAGAGAATTATTGATCCATTTAAATATTATAGGTGTTATATTTTTAAATTTTTACATAGATCAATAATTCTCTAGCACATACGCACCACCTGATTCTCTCCCTCCCTCTCTCTGAATATCTATATATACATACTCTTGAAATAGATTATTGATTAATGATCATTAAGTGTTTATATATATAACGAAAAATAGTTGATACAGTGTTTCTTTTAAAAAAGAAACTTATTATTATCCTTGAATATAAAATTACATATTTGATAATATAATACTTGTAGCAGTATTTATCAGTTAATATATAATTATCCTCTATGGTGGTCTAGCTTCAATTAACTCATGATCTGAACTATATGAAATTACTAAAACATCCACAAAAACCCTCTACGAATAATGATCATATGCTCACTAGTGACTGGAGTTCAACCAGACCTGTTGGGAGATATCAACTCACTGAAGACAATTGGTGAATGGTCGCTCAATTTCGTGAATTGGTTGAAATTAGACATTAAAATCGTTGAATGCCAGCTCAGTGGTCTAGTGTTTAAATGCTCTGGTGCGAGACTGATAGGTCCTGGGTTGGAATCTCGTGAGGCGGGATCGTGGATGTGCACTGATGAGGAGTCCCACAATAGGACGAAACGGCCGTCAACACAGTGCTTCCAGGTTTTCCATGGTGGTCTAGCTTCAATTTATTCATCATTTCAACTATGAAAATACTGAAATATCCACAAAACCCCCTTCCGATGATGAATATTATAATTCATTTAAAAAAGATAATTATATGCAGGATAATAAATGAAAATTTTATAAAGTTGTATAGTATTAATTTAAACAATTAATATATTTAACTAAGAAACCATTTAAATATTCAAAACATTTATGAAAAAAGATTATATCGTTGAAATAATAAGGCAATTGAAGCTAGACCACCATGGAAAACCTGGAAGCACTGGACGGGAGGAGTCCCACAATAGGATGAAACGACCGTCCAGCGCTTCCAGGTTTTCCATGATGATCTAGCTTCAATTGACTCATGATTTCAACTGTATATAAAATTACTAAAATCTCCACAAGACCCTCTTCTAATAAAAAAGATTATATCGTTATGATTATGTGGTACATAAAACAGAAGTAACTTGTAAAGTAGTTGTTAAGTTAAAAAAAAATCTATCTTTACATAAATTAACAACTCAATAGTGATTATTATAATTCAACCAATATTCTATTAAAATCGATATTATTGTCAGTAAAAAATAATGTACGACTTGAAACGAATATGTATATTGATCCAAGTTTTCATTATTACATCAATGATACAATGTAAATTAATATGATGTTTATAAAAGAAGTTGGATAGTTATTGATTTTGGAACAGATTATACGTGCAGGATATGATTACTAAAAAAAAAGGGGGATTGATTAATTTTAAAAGTTTTCACATTATACTACGAATGAAATTCATCAATCTCCACAAACCCCGTTTAATAATAATAATAATTATGTACTTACTAATTTCTAAAGGTCTAGTGAGAAGTTTTGACCAGCGCAGTTCAACCATGTCAGTTGTGAGGCAGTTGTCAATACCAGATCAATGCTGTTGGGCACAAAATTTAGTTTTATAATATACCATGAAATTCTGTGAATAATTGGGATTCATTAATTCATAACAATCTTCATCCAAATTAGCTTACCAAATGTTTAATTATAAACTTGACACACTTGAAACCAGTGTAAATGAAACAGTACTTGACAAATGTTCCAAAATATTATGGTAAATCTCCAATTGTGTACATTTAGAACTCTTCCAATGATTCTCCCTAAAGCTTTCAGGTCTTACTTCAAGAGTGGTAAATTTAAACAACTAAATCTGTATCCAATCATTCACATCCCCAACATTAGGGACTTCATGACAAACTGTGACATTATTCAATAGCATTTGTGAGGATTATTTGACTGCCTACATGAATAACCTCACTGGTTAAAACTTGCCACTTAGTCTTTAAAAATTAATTTCAAAGTCACAATCATTATTGAGCACACGATTTTGGGCTTGAATTCAAACATAATTATGTGCTCATTTCTGAGAAGAATCCTAAAAAAGGTGTAAAGTTCTAACTAGTTCATAATATTCTTCCTTTTGTTGATATCTTTGGTTTTTCTCACTTAAAACAACAGTTTAAAACACATATATCAATGACCCCATAAAAAACAAGAATAAATTTGAGTAACTAAGAAAGATGACCATTAACACTTTATCCCCCATCCCACATATAAACATATCGTCAAATCAAACAATTTAGGCTTTATCATTTTATTCTCTTTATCATTAAACACCACACTACTATAGCAGGGAACAGCTTTTGTTCAATGATTTTGAGTGTTCTAACAAAAATTAATAGTTCACGTTGAAACCATAGCAACAATAAAAGTCAATTAAAGCAATTTTCCTGACTAATAAAAGTACACAATGTTATAAGTATACATTTTGATGTTACATGTTACAACACGTAGACCAGAAGGTAATAATAGAATACGGAGTGGTATCATTTTTATTGTGTAGTAGTGAAGTTAAAAATTGATTAGATCTCTTAATTCTGATCACTGACCAAGAAAAACTGTTAGTGTATTATTGTGTTCCCCAAGTTAGGTGGTTTAATTACCATTCTGTAGAATATCGTCAGTGTCTAATGTTACATGAAACAGAGGTTGATAATATTATCCAGAACGATAGCAGAAGCTTTACAATTAAACCGTTGTTATACCCCTGTCACCTATTAATTGTACTTGAAAAACGAGGAACCACTACAATTTCCACGACGTGAAGTAAGAACATGAAAAACTTGCACAAGTGAAGATTTATTCAGCCCGAAAACACGATAACGACCCTAGTCGAAAATAGACTCATTTATAATTCATTTTGTATCGTTGGTTTGAATCTTCCCATTGATGTTTAGGACTGCAATTGATCAGTCTCTTATTGGCATATGTACATTTTGTACAGATTGCCTTGATATTGCCTTAAATCATAAACATTATAAGTAAGGATGGATGGTGGCTAACAGTGGAATCCAGGACTCGCGTTTCATCCCATTTGGGACTTGTCAGCTGGATGTACCTGCATCTCAGAGTTGATGCACACTCCACCTAATTATTAATTAGGAAATAGTCACATATATGAAATTACAACAGTCTCATGTTACATTTCATGCTGAATATAATTGAAGTTAATTCAATAGAAACAATATCTTAATCTTGAATAAACATCAAACTCAAATAAATAAATGTTATAATGAGTAAACTAGCACACTGAAATTAAAACAAACATTACACTGAGTAATCAACAAACTGAGTTAGAAACCGAGGTAATGTTGAACAAACAGTTACAATTAGTTTAAAATGTAATTTGGTTTTTTCGTGAGGTCATATCATAATGTCGTTCAGAAGGACGATGAAAGCTCCACGGCCAAACCATTCAGCTCAGAGAACAAACCTACATTAAAATCACCCACCTGAGCTACAAATCTTCTCCATCTCAAGGTCATATCAAACATCTAGCTTAAAGAATGAAAGAAATCATCGAAAGCATCCATATGAACTCTAATTCTCGATTGCATGAAAAAGTCTATGTTAACTGTACGCACTAAATTGAATATATTTGTGTATTTTTCTTGTATTGATAATGTATTACGTAATTCAATGTGATTTCTGACTATTTTTTTATCGTTTCTCCTCAGAATTGGATAGTTTATTTTTTCATACAAACAAAGGAAACCTTGTTTGAAGAAGTGGCTTTCCCTTAGTCTCAAAGCGTCAGAAAATTTAATTTTTCTATCTATTGGGGGTATTACACATATATCATGTCTATCATGTAACCTTCATAATGTTCAAACATGGTGCTGTAATAAATTATCAAAATACTTTGCACTAGTACAGCTTGATCGTTACTACTAGACATTATATCATTAGTGACCGATTAGTGTGTCAGACTTTCACCTTTACATGAAGTCAATCGTTATCTGAAGAGCCTATTGGTAATGTCTGTTTGTGATTGTGACACTGAGAGACTTAAGTTCAGATTTCTGGTGGAATATTTTGGAAGAGCGTAAATGCGTTTGATAATTAAGACTGCAACTATGGTATTTAAAGCATAGATCTAAATAATTTAGTTATAATGCCGATAAGAAATACCAAACATTAAGAGTATCTTGCAGAAAGGCAGAACAAAAAGGAATGCATTAAGAAATGTTGGAACCCAAGATTTAGGGGAAGCTAAAAAATGAATTAACCTGAGACATATAAAAACATCTCCAACCACTGATCGCGGTCGGAGCACACACCCCAATTAGATATTCCGCATCTACCAACAGCTAGTCCCTTCATGGACTGATACCATGTTTGAGTTTAACCGCCTCTAGCTTTATTCCAATTTACAAACCCTCCATCCAGATAGGCGGTGGTTAAGCATACTTAACACATGTTTTAGCCACCCCAGTTGATGAAGGTTCCCTATTTCTTCAATCATTTTGCCATATTTACCTAATGCCTTATGGTCACTCAATGGTCTCTACATACACGACTACTGCTTCGAAGACACTTATCGTCAAAATTTGTTAGTTAATACATGTCTTCTAATTTTGTAGACCATAATATTACATACAGATTAATACTTAGAGAACTTCTTAACAGTAAATCCACTTTCTGGTTGGTAGATGGATGTCTCTACGCCACAAGTAATGTCAGTTTGTAAATGCCAATCTATGATATATATATATATATATATATATATATATATATATATATCAATTTACTAATTAAATCACCAATTATCTATTTATTTATACATTTTAGCCACGTCATCATCGGAAATTAGAGAAAGCTGATATTCTAGAACTGGTTGTTTCGTTTCTTAAAAAAGAATTAAATCAAAATCGTTTTAGAACAACATCGTCTTATTCACAGCAACAACATCAAAATAACTATAGATCAATTTATTCATTGCAAAATTTAAATTTTCCTTCAGGAATTGAATCATCATCAGCATCTATAGTTTATCCTGATAATCGTAATAATAATTATTATCCACATCATTTAATAACATCAATTCCCCAATCAAATCACCAATCAATAACTAATCATTATATTATGAGAAATAATGATAATGGTTCATCGAACATCAATAATTATCCTATTTATGATCATACTGAACAGAATACTAAAAGTGTTTATCCAACAATATCATATCAGTCATCGTATAAACATCAACACCAATCATTACCGTCACCTCACTATTCCCAATTATTAAGTTATCAACCAATCGTATTTACATCAACAGATGATATGAATAAAGAAAATCAATTGATAACTGGTGCTGAAAATCTCAAAAACAATATGAATACACCAATAACAAAAGATTTACGTTATTATCCGACTTGTAATTATGACGATTACACAATTGAAAAAGATTCAGTCCGTCAACCATTGAATATAGCTAGTAACGTCATTGGTCAAAACACTTCCTATAAATCAGATCCTAAAATAATCAATCAAACATGTCACCACCACCAACAACAACAAATTCAACCGAACACACATTTGAAAATTTATCCAGATATATTAAATAGTCATTTAAATTATAAACTACCGACAGCCAAAGATGAAGATTATGTAAAATCGTACCCATACAATAATTATAATGGTGGTAGCCAATCATTCCGTAGCGTTATTAGTCATGAAAATAACAATACTATTGATAATAGTAGTTCAGTTTTCACCTATGGCAATGAAAGAATATGTTCAAAGGAATCGACAAGTTTTGAAAGACTGTGGAGACCATATGTTTGAATTTTAGCCCGTTTCATTCATATTTGTGGAACATGATTATAAGCCATCAATTTATTTGTAATTAATCATTTATTTACTAATTTCTCTATTATTAGTTTAAAATAGCTAATAAATAGAATACCAACGATTTACTTTATATATCATTTTATTACACGTCATGCATTGTTCCATTTTCTTCCCTATTTTGCATGAGCTACTGAAAACTTTTTAAGTAGTGTAAATTTACCTTTAAAAATATACGTGTGTACATATAAGTAATTTGTTTCTGTATTTGGTTTTTCATAAGTGGCGCATAAAGATTGAGCGAAATATTTACGGTAAATTAATAAAATATACATGAAAGTCAGTCATAACCTCGTTTTTTAGAGAATGCTGATTACAGGAAATACTGAATACTATTACTGCGTAAACAAAGTCGTTTTTACATTATTTTGTACATTTCACGTTATAAAGTAATGTAAAAGCATATTTATGAAGATCATATGACGTTCATATTTACTTCAGATAAACATGAATGAAAGCTCAGTTCGCATCATCAGTTTTTATGAACTACAACACATCTAATTAACAATAAACTCCCGCATAACTACCGAAACACGTAGATAGAAATACTGACTTTGTAATTTGTAACAAGGACCAACTGTTGCTGGGATATCATTGGGAAGGATAACTATACAGAACTGGGGTTTTCCGGTTTATTTATTTGAACACGTGAATTGTGGTACAAAGGAGAACCGGCTACATATGCGCTACACAAGGCACTTGATTTGTGTGTGGGCTGTGATATTGCCCAGGTCCCAGACCGAAGCAGGTGGCTATCTTAGGTGACCACACCCCGAGCATTCGACCTAAAGGTCTGATCCACAAGACAGTGGGGCAACGTTAAGAGATGCAGTCCTATGTTAACTGGTGACCAACAATTTGTTCATAATCCATTTGTTCCCTCAGGATCCTGGAACCCATGTGCACCATTGGCTTGGAATTATAGTTTCCCAACTCCCCTAGGTGGATCCTCTATATCCACTAAACCGGTTAAAGCACTGGACATTAGCTTTTCGTCCTTTCAATTTCGCAAACAATACCCCTGCTGCGAGAAGGATCTCCATAGCAATGGCTGTATACTCGTGGTCATGTGAGAATATTTGGAGATGAAGAACGAACTCACCACCCTTGGCCGTACCAGGGTATTTGGGGGAAGGATTTTCTGGCAGTATTCGCCGTACAACTTAGTGGTTCAAGATGACATCAGATATAGCTCAAAGTAAAAGCTATTATTAACCCTACAGTACTTCCTATTACACAGTGGATCAATATAACAGGATTGGTCAAAATATCGATGTATAGGCATTCAGTGGCTCACTACAATCAATAAACGATACAGTATGACTGTCACACAGTGTGTAATTACCTAATACTGGATGTAGTTTAACTTTGTCGATTACAGCTATTCACTTGGTTTACTACAGTCTATGGTAAGATAAACCGTGCCGACATGAATTGTTGAATGTTTAAACTATTGCTGTTAGTAAGTTCCTGACCCATACTTCATTTGAGACGACTTATTTGTAAGTAATTTTAAGTGATAATACTAATGCAACTGTGACGTGAAGTATACTTTTCATTAGTTTTTATTTTTTGTTTGACAACCAAACATAGTATTGTATAGATGGACACTTAAAAGTAGCACTATTCGTGAGGCTGGTATACAATTATCCTTAAGATCAACAACAAATGCAAATCGAAGTAACACAAAGCGGCAATTTGTACGTGAGATATTTAAGAATCGTGCACCAACTAGAGGGAATCTTAAGCTTGAAAGAATAGATCAATCCTGGATAGATTGGAGCTTGTCTTTTAGGATCTCTACTGAAGTTCACTACTAAATGTTATGTTCAGTGCATCCCCTACACAGAAGTCTTACCTTCCATATAGTCCTCAGAGAAGGACGTGATCTACTCAGCTTTTCCACGCATACCTACAAAATAATCGTTAACTGTGCAGTGAACCGTTTAGCCTGGTGATTTGATTTCAAGTTTTTATTAATGAATATGATAGGATAAACACAAATAATAAGTATTTGCTTGAGTCTACTAAGTTTGTTGTTCATTGTATTATTAAGGTATATTCATCTGGCCTTCGAGGAGGAAGAAAAAGTCAAGTTCATCTTACTACTTACTAACACCCAACCTTGGTAAAATGTATATTTTATGCTCCAAATTGATTTTATTTGCACCGGTAGATGTAGTCATTGGGAGTGAAACTCCTAGTTTACATATGATGCGGTTATGAAATTAAATGATTCATGAAAGAAAATGAACTTCATTATGGTAGCATTTCGTCCATTATTTTCATCACAAATGATGAAAATATGTTTGTCTTAAATATACTTTATCGATTGTTGATGAAAGCATTTTGCCTTCCAGATTAACTATGATAGAGTACACAGTGTAAATACAATTACACCCTGACCTGTTCACAATTATATGTTTATCTTCAGTTATAAGTGCATCTTGAGAGTAGTTCTTTCAAAGTCCTCCTAGAATATGGATGTCGAGGTCTTTATTTCTGATCTTATAATTATTACGTAATTTATTCATTAAGTACGAGTTTATGTAACCGTATTTGAGCCGTTCTGTTTGTGTGAGGGATAATCAAACTATGAGATCATTGCATAAGACAGATACGGTAGAATCACACTATACCTCTGAGGAGAACACCTCTAAAGCAATGTCTAATGATAACATTTTCTATAATACTTCAAAGTAGGTTGTTGAATCAACAAAATCAAAGGACTGCAGATTTGAGATGACTTAATTTTGTAGACCATATCATGGGTTGATTGTAGTAGAATGTTTACTGGAAAGCAGGAATCACTGGATGGCTGTTTCGTCCAAAAAGGACCTTTTAGTGGCAGTGCTCATTCAAGACCCGTTCGGACACAGGATCTTCGGGTTCAGAAGTCAAATGATCTGGGTGCAAGTAGAATATTGGTTATAGAACAAGAAATGATGGTAACTGTTGTGACAGAAAGATAGAATACCCACTTGTTGTGGATTGTATCGTATCGTTGGAATGCAGATGCATTCAACTAACAAATCCCAAACAAAACGAGACGTAAGTACAGAACCCCACTGTCAGCTATCATCTAATCTTACGAGCTTACTGTTTCAGGTGCAATTTTTTGCCCTGTCACCAATAAACAATTATTCACGGTTAAATACGACTTTATGACATCTAAGTTATCCGCGTATTTTTTCTGGTTAAAACAAAACAAATAGATTGTTTTTTTATTTAAAATCAAGCCAACTTGATGATTCGTAATTTTATTGAATCTGATAAGCTACTTATTGCCATAATAAGTAGAACATTTGAATAGAACGGAAAAGTGTTCGATAAACTTTTTGTCTGAGAAATTTACTTGATACAGAGTTTTGCGAGATGATTTAGAGCTTAAAAACAGTACTGGTATAGGATTAATTTTTTAAAAAAGAGCTAGAGTTTGCCAAATAAGACGTCGTGTTGGTCGAGGAGATCAGTGACTGTTGATCTGAGCCATGTTAGTATATGCAGACTATTTAGTTGGGGTCCGCGGGATAACCGCGATAAGTATTTGTAGACGAAGATGAATTCACTCATCTTTTTGTTGATACTGTATTTAAACTTTTTTATACATACTGTTTTACTCTGTCTTCACTAACTTTATTCTCAACACCAAGTCTGGTTTTATTGTTATTCCCACTACATTATATCAATTGCTTCAGCTGTACATCGTTATCTTGCCGTGTTGATGTAGTATGATAACTTGGCCCATAACATAACCGTATCAGGTTCTACTTTGATGAAAGCTGATCGTTTATCACGAAAGAAAGATCACATCTTCCACTGAAACAAGGAATAAACTTATGGTTTACTTTAATTATTGTTTGATTTTGAAAAAAATTCTATCAATTGGAGAAAGTAATACACACAATCATGGTCAAATTGTAAAAAAGAGAAACAGTTAGGGATTGTAGTGTTTACAGTACGAAAGAGATTTAAAGGTGATTCACAGTAATCTCGTCATCTTTTAATATTAATCAGTAGTTGTATGTATTTTACTGAAGATGACAATTAATAGAGAGAAATAAGACTCGTCATTAGTAAATAGTATTTACGTATTGACAAGAATTTATTCATTATTTTTAATTTCTAAACTAATTTAGCAAGTAAATGGCTTTCTTACGTTATGTACATTTCAACATCAGTATTAATAGTGTATAGGTTTTACTGTGTGACAAGTAATTGACTAGTTTTGTCCAACTTTGAATGATTTGATTATATTCATTAACTTTCTTGTATGTCCACAAATGCCCTGGTACGGCCGAGAGTGGGGAGAGTCCTCTCTCACTCTCGAAATGCTCTCGTGTGGCCACGCGTATATAGCCTCTGTCATGGAAGTCCTACTCACTGCCTTCTTACACCAGGAGTGTTGTTTATGAAATTGAGAGGACGAAATGCGAATGTTCAGTGCTTTAACCGGGTTGACGGACACGGAAAGTCCACTTAGGGGAGTTGGAAAACCCTGATTCCAAACCAATGGTGCACATAGGCTCCAGGATCCTGAAAGAACAAATGGCGTATGAACCTATCGTTGGTCACCTGCTACCATGGGACGATGCTCCACTGCCTTGTGGACTAGACCCTCAGGTCAAATGCTCGGGGTGTGGCCCCCTAAGAAAACCACCTGCTTCAGTTTGGGCACCTAGGTAGTATCACAGCCCTCACACAAATCTCATTTGATTTGTGCGGCGCATATGTATTTGGAGGCTCTTTGTACCAATATTTATGTGTTTAATTAAATAACTTTTTTTTTACATCTTTATCTTCAATTCTTGACTACTCATTGTCAAAAAAGTAGATGAAATAACAATGTTTGAGTTATTAGGTATTTCGAAAACTTGTTGATGTCGAGAAGTCAGCTATGATATAAAGAAAATTTTGTCAATGAAAAACACTTTCACTTACAACATACACAGTTATCTATAGAAGAATATTGTAATCAATGGTTCGGAACATTGGGTAACATGTTTTAGAATTATTCACAATAATAATAATACAAATGCATCTAATCTTAGTCTTCCCATAAACTTAAAATTACCTTATGCATTTTTTTTCTTGGATCATATTGTCTATGGTGTTATATCTCGAACTTGGATTTTTAGTATGTCGCGTATACTTGAGCACTCGAACGCTAGGACCCTCCCAAGTCGCAAAATGAGAAGACTAGTAAGTAAGATTGTTGTTCCAAACAGTGTCAAATATAGTACAAAAATCTCATGTATTTATAGTTTCTTGGCTGAAAGTGAATCATCATTTCGGACAGCCTATTGGGGGTTCTTCTTATTCATCCAATAGAGAAGCTACACGTCGACATTCTAGAATGTTTTCCTAACAGTGATTGGATGGAATGTCTTTGGCTCTTTCTGGGCTTCTTGAGTTTTCCAACGAGCCATCCTTACATATGGATAATTTTTTTTCCAATAACTGACACTGTTACTACATAAACTACGCTAATAATTTTGTCTTACTATACTGATTTGTTATGGAAACTTGAGCTAATGCATGGATGTGGTACGTTCCATGTTGTTTATGATAAATATTCAGTCATTATAGGTGAACATGATCGGATAGAGTTTAAAATTTTAAGTCTGGTCTGACATAAATTCCCAAGGTATCTCCATCATCAACTTGCAACAATCACAGAACTATTTAAAACATAAAATGCAGTTTGATCCTAGTAGTATAAACCATTTTGACTAATATGAAAATAAATCTATCTTTTAGCTTTCACGCATAAATGTCACAGAAAATTGTCTTTCAAGGTATACCAGGAGGAATCCGCGACTAAACTTTATGAGATAAAGTCATCTTTGTGCGCTTCTTATAAAGACCATCTTATGTGGATGTAAATAGTTGACAGGGAACCTTGGTTATATGACAGCTGGGACTAATCAGGGAGATGTACCTGGAGTCTCGAGGAAACTGATGCTCGCTGTAAGATTCAGGGAGCGACCTAATTACCTTATTGGTAGCACTGTAGTGAACAAGAACACGATTGGGGACAATCGAATGTATTTGACACAGAAATTACAGACTATCTCACTAAAATCTGACAACAATACAGTAAACAGTTAATTTGCAAACTAACAATCAATTGTCTCAATCTTGACTGTTCCTTCTGCAAATATCAGTTCATCTTCTCTGATTTTATTGTTCATACGTTTTCATACCGTTTCGGTTTTTTCCTTATCAATCTTCTAGTGAAATACATTCTATGTCTGACCATCACCATATACTACTTAGGTGGATATCAGTAATCCACACTACAGCACCTCAACATTTGAAACCGTGATGCTGGTTCCTATCCCACAGGGAGCATCAGTTCCTTTAAAATTACACGTGTACCTTACTAACAAGTGCTAAACAGTGCGAAAACTAGGTTCAGGGTTTCCTGTCAACTACCTCCGACCACCCCCTAACGTCTCAACACAGTGTACGCGAAATCGAGTCACTTAGACCAAATTTCAACCCTATTGATAAAATTCCCCAGTGCTGAAGGACATGACATTGGTCACTACTCAGTAGTTACTCAATTGTTAAGACCTTAACAAAGTATGGCAGAGAAATTCTTATTGGACTAAGCTGATACTTCGTTACAATGAATCTCGCACAAATGTATATAAAGTTTGTAAAAGTAAACACAAAGATATCACTGAGTACTTATTCAATTGTGAGTTGATTTAGATTTCGATGAAATGATGGAAAAGGGAAACTATGAAATTATCTTGATAAACCAACAGTTTCATTCGCAATGGGTAACTGGACTGCTGGTTGTAAAATTCTCTGATTATAACTTTTAATACCAATGTACTTGGATTCGTAGAAGTGAGAACCTAAAATACGGACGATTATCCACACAACATTTGAAGTGCAGAAAAGGATCTTTAATAAATAACTTCAGGTGAAGTTGGTGTTTAGAGGGTAAACGTAATTCCAACGATTGTTAGTTCAATTTTATCAAAGCCAACATGGGAATGCTTACATTTACAGACTTAACCTAAAGTATCTTGAAATGATAAGCTGCACATTCTCTTAGCTGAAAAACCATGAGGTTACCTGCTACAAGCATAATTGAACTATTATGATCTCAAGAATTGTAATTAGAAAAGTCTTATGGATTAATAGAGACGCAATGAACGGACTGGCTGACCAGTCATACGCAATACTATGACATAACCCAGTTATAATTGTTCACCAGGCTGAATCATTGACCCAACCGCTCCTACCAAACTGACAGCTAGCCAAGAGAATAAGTTTACTTATTATTTGTTTAAACACATAAATATTGGTACAAAGAGCCGCCAAATACATATGCGCCGCACAAATCAAATGAGATTTGTGTGAGGGCTGTGATACTACCTAGGTGCCCAAACTGAAGCAGGTGGTTTTCTTAGAGGACCACACCCCGAACCTTTGACATGAGGGTCTAGTCCACAAGGCAGTGGAGCATCGTGAGGAGATGCAAATATGGTCAAGTCCTATAGATTATTGGAGAAAATCAGTTTTGTAAGCCACCCACCCTGTAACTAATTAAGATCTATCTGTGAGGCCTAACTATTGCTTATCATACCAACCATTATTAGAATATTGGGGCTCGAGACAAACACAATGAACTATGGTGACCAAACCCGGTTAACGAAGCTGATACATCGTAGAATGTATAAGTATTTAAACCACAGACGAAAGCAGAACAATGTGTTTTGATGAAGTTTTTGTTAAGGAAGAGTAAAAATTTATTTTAATAGGTACTGATTGTTGAATAGTTGCCTATTTTAAGATGTCCACTAATATGACGTTCTACGTTTTCATTGTTTACTACGTTATCTGATAGTCGACGAAGTCCTACTACAATCACAGAAAACTCACTTGGACTTTATGAAGTTGAAGTACCTTTGTGGGAAGACATCTGTTAGTCTATGAGTATTACTTTTATTCTTTTGTATCTGATCTTGCTCATTTTCGCTATAAATATGTGGATACAATGTGCAAAAGCATAAGATGAATATTTGTGCTAAGTCTTGCATCGTTCTTGAATGACTGCTCGATACAGATCAAATAGAGCAATTTAAGACTGTCGAAATCCTTGCCGTACCTTACAGAACGAAATACATCCAAACCAGTACAAAAATATGAATTTACGTTTGTTGTTTAAAAAAGTAAATTTTGTGTGAGTTAATTTGAAATTACAACGTAAAATGTGTATTAGACGACAAACGCAAATCGTTAATTCTCAGCTGGATTCCTCATTAAGTATTTGTCCATAGGCAATTAGTAAACTATGCGTAAATCGCATCAGGATTCGAAGTTTTGGATAGGAGGTAGATATATGATGTATCTTTGAGAATATCATGAACTATTTTCAGATGAATTAACTCCCACAACTCTAACTACTAGTCCTCTACATCACTCCTAGATCTATCACTTAAGCCTTAACTTAAAGTAATCAGGATCCGACTAACCAAATTACCAGTAATATATATGACAATTGTCTGTTGAGATATTTTTGTGATCACTAATCGCTGCTGAAAAGCATCAACTTTAAACGGCACTGAATTAGGAGCACTTTGGTGAATTTAGTTTGCAAAATGATATGGTGACTAACCTGATGAGGGACACTAACGAGTCAACAACAATTCATCATCCCACTGAACCAGTTTGATGGAATACCGATTGAGAAGCTAGTCAAAAAGCCTGAAATAGCCGCTCAATTGGCAACAAGTATGAAGATCGGTAGATCAATTAAATGAGAATTTTCATCTAAATTTTCACTTATTTATTAAAAGATCAGCAGCTATTCGATGAACTCTACTAGACATCAGTCATAGGACAAAAAGTCTTAAAATAACTGTTTGCGAACAAAATAGATTTTCAGTTTTATGGTAAAAACCAAACTTTCAGTTCACTTAATTCAGATATATGATATACCTAAGAGCTTATAATAGGATATCTTTACTTTACTTAAACGCATAAATATTTGTACAAGGAAGCACCAGATAAATATGCGCCTCACAAATCTCATTTCATTTGTGTGAGGGTTGTGATACTGCCCAGGTGCCCAAACTGAAGCAGGTGGTTTTCTTAGGGGGCCACACCCGGAGTCTTTGACCTAAAGGTCTAGTCCACAAGGCAGTGGAGCATCGTGAGGAGATGCAGTCCCGTGGTAGCCGGTGACCAACAGTTGGTTCATGCGCCATTCGTTCCTTCAGGATACTGGAGCCCATGTGCACCATTGGTTTCGAATCATGGTTTTCCAACTCCCCTAGATGGATCCTCCACATTCACCAACCCGGTTAAAGCGCCGGACATTCGCTTTTCGTCCTCTCACTTTTGTGAACAACACCCCCACCACGAGAAGGCAGTGAGTAGGAGTTACCTGGCAGAGGCTATATATTCGCGTGGCCATATGAGAGCATTTCGAGAGGGAGAGCAGACTCTCCCCACTCTCGGCCGTACCAGGGTATTTGGGGGCATAATAGGATATCAAGCCCCCATAAATCAATATTGGTTATTACAGCCTGAAGTTAGTCATACCAAATCGATATCGACCCCTAAACGGTGACAAATAGTTTAGATAACCGTATTCTTAAACCCAAAGGAGATACTTGATTTCTAGGATATATAGGTTATGTGAAAGTACGTTCACTAAGAGAATATGAAACTAACATAGTATATCGAAGAAATACGTGGAATCCTGTTGTTACGTTAAAAGTTCAAGTTTACCGTAACCAGTGGGGTCTAACTACAGACCTCCTCTTTGTTTAGCATCACTTTCAACTCAACATAGAACATCAACTCTATTCATTCTAACGAGGTATGGCAACTTGAACCGATACATATATGTGCCTGGTCCTACGTTGTAGCTGACTGAATTCTATTTATTAATTTCAATACACCAGTAAAATTCCTGAAAGAACAAATGATGAGGCAGTTTTGTTGCATGAAAACGCTATTTTAAGGTGTTTAGTTCGTCGGTTACAATTAGTCTCTTGCCTATTTCAAATGAGTCCAGTGAACACTTAGTTTAAGTCGTATTGAGAACAATAAGTTAACAATTTTTCCAAAAGTGACCTCTAATTTACACTGCAAATAAAAACTTGGGTTGTTTCGTTTGGAAAAGTGCTTGAAATCAAAAATGATTTCACATGAGAATAAGATTAATATAACACTTGAATATGATCATACTGACCACTTATATAACAATTCTTAAAGATTCTAGGTATTCTGAGACTTCAGTATTAGCAGGAAACTGAAACACCTCAAAAATAAAAACCAATACTTGAAGGGTTAATCATAATTCCAAAAAACTAAATATCGTTAATCTCGAAAGCATACCAACAGATTAGTAACTGGAGAAAATAACTATACGAAAGTGTAGTGCCAGCACATTGTAAACTAATTAACTTTTGAGCAAACGACATTAATATTTTTAGGGGAACTATATAACCTGACATTCAAGCGGCTGACTATGAGCGTTGTGTATCGTTTGACAGAGTATGACCGCCTGATCTATCGCTGTTGATAGAATTAATGTAAGTCATCTCGAATAACACGTGTTACGAAGGAAATTAAGAGCACAACATATATGAAAGTGGACAAAAACCAAAGCAAATATAATTTAGTTCGTGATACACGAGTGAAGCAGGTACGATAATACGCAAAACTCCGAGATATTTTTCTAAAAACAGAAAATATTTCCAGTTTCGAGATACACCAATTAATTTGTACAGCAACCAATTTGATGGCTAACACTCCACAAATAAGAACTATTGCCGATTCTGAGCCAATTACGACTTTTAAGACGTAGGTGTTTCTGGGTGAACTTTTGAAATCAAGTCACATTTAGAAAACAACACAGGGATGAACAAATACCAAACAACTGAAGGTTGGACAAGTAAAAACGTTTTTCCATATAACAAGAACAGCCAGCTACACAACTAGTAAAATGTAGAACCTAAGGATTTCGTTAAGTAAAAAAGATTTATGACAATCATGTCTGTGGCTACAAAGGACTTACATGATATCACGGTAACCAACTGTAGTCAAACGTTGCAGCTGGTTAGGCATAAATACATAATTTAACCTCTTCTGAGACACTAGATACATGGCTAAAGATCGATAAGGAACTAAAAAGTATGATCCAATAACCGAAGCAATATGAGATAACAATGGCAAGATTTCAACACATTTACTACTTTAAAGTTACAGTACGAGATAATGTAGCTTCGCTAACAAGGTAGGAACAGAATGATACGGTTAACATAGAAACTTATTACGCATGAGTAAGATTTCTGGTTCGCTAAGATTCAATTTGCTTTATGAATCAAGAAAACTAGAAATTGCTAAATTATCCAGTCATATATATTTAGATAATTAAAAACCAGCACTCTCCTTCATTAGTTGTTTCTTTATCTTTTTCTTAGATTCCTTCTTCTTTACTAACTGTGGAGCAGCTGCAGGTACCTTAGGAACAATATCGTCTTTCGTAGCAAGTATGACTTCTACATGGCATGGTGAACACATGTAAGGATTAATACGACCGTGGGCACGATATGTACGACGTCGCATTTTAGGTGCTTGGTTGACCTAACCGAGTCATAAGAAAATAGGGATGTTACCTGGATGTGTTTGATGTACAAACGACTGGCTTCTCCTCCTTTTATGTCTTTGTATACACCATTGCTGAATGCATTGTGCAGAAGCTGAAGTAGCATTTGAGCAGACTTTTTGGGCCATCTACCCTGAGTTGTTTTCCAGACTTTTGCTTGAGCATGACGACCGACGCCACCATTGAATCGGCGGAAAGGGATAATCTCTTTCTTCTCAATGACATTTTTCAAGTAAGTTTGTGCTCGCTGGAGAGTCATTCCCTTAAAAATTACTGAGTAAACGTGTTTATTTAAGTACCTTCACTGCACAAGCACACTCATGCATGTTTTTGAAATGAGTCCTCAGGTATGGGATTCTTGCTTTGCAAGTTTTACCTTCATCCTCATCTTTTGGTTCCCACGAGTACTTTACCATTATTCCTAAGACTAAACAGCGCCAAAAAACGTGGACGGACAAACTTCCCGCTCCCAAGAACTTTGAGGCAAAAAACAACTTCGGGCTCAAACGGGTTCAAATTCATTAGGAATATTAAATAAAGCTCTTGATTGACGAACTTCAGTTTTCAGAGACAGTTAACGGCCGGTTATCATTATATATAAGAACAGTCGTCTCTTTTCATCGCTTAACAAACCAGAGGCTATAGTGAAGTTTCGTTCCCGAACTTTAGGTGAAAAATGACTTGAACTACTTGACTTCGTTATTAGTACAAGTTTGATGTCTGAACGACACGGAGATCCTTAATTATTTCATTTTATGGTGAACTATCTTATTTTGTGCATAAGTGAAAGCTAACTGTTATTTAGATTATTGGAAAAAAACTCTATTACGGTAAATAAACAAACACATAGATCGGTATATCTTCTGCATTGCTGCCAACCTCATAAGTTTTATTGGGAACACCGCATCTAAAAGCACTCGGTAACGCATCCGCACCAGACCACGAGTGGGTACACCGTGCTGTGCATACATTGCAACTACTAGTCAGCTTGGACCAAACCTTACTCAACGTGCCCAAAACCTTCCAGATAAACCATCGAACCCAATCATCAGTCATTCAGCTACAACATAGGACCAGACACATATATGCATCTGTCTAAGTTGCCATAACTCGTTAGCACAACAAGACGAACACCGGATTCATAGAAGTAGTTAATTTAGTGGTTGTAGTATATAAATGATAGGTTATATATAAAGATATAGTATAGGAAGGAAGAAAGTTATGAAAAAAATTTAATCTTATAGTTTAAAGAAAGACAGATAGTATATACACCTACGCCATTGTGATTGATTCTGAGCCATGTCACATAGAGTCACGAGTTTTAGTTAGGCGCCCGATAATTATTGATGCCATGTTAGTCAGACTAATCCCTCTATGGTTATCGCAGGATGATTTTGACCCCTTTTTATATATTGGGACAATCAGTGATTGTGACCAGTCAGATGGGATTACATCCGTCTCCCAAATTTTAGCAAGAATATTAGTCAACCTAATCGCTAAAATTGGACCACCATATTTAAAGACCTCTGGAGCAAATCCATCAGGACCAGATGCTCTTCCTCGTTTCAGATTACCTATAGCCTTTTGAACTTCAAGTAGGGTCGGGGGGCCTACTTCAATGTTCCATTCAGGTTTTCTAGGGATAGTGGGTAGTTGTGCAGTAGCTGAAGGCCAGCTAAACTGCTCCTTAAAGTGTTCCGCCCATCGTTTTAAACGTCTGGGCTGAGAGCAGATAAGGGTTCCATCTTTTTCCGAGATTGTCTCGCTTTCATTTGACTTATTAATTCCGGTTTCTTTTATTAGTCTGAAGAGCCGCCTGATGTTGCCTAAAGCGGCTGCCTTTTCCATCTCTTTTGCTTTCGTTGCCCACCACTGCTCACGATCATTCCTTAGACTTTTAGTTAACCTATATCTAATTTCTTTACGCTCTTCGTCATGTTCCGAGCCTGATGGGATGAGTTTACGCGAATCCATCAGTGAAATGGACTTAGAAGAAATCCATTGGTTTTTTGGAGCCCTATGGTTTAAATGACTAATAGATGTTACTGCTGTTTCCACAGCTGTTTGTATGTCTTTCCAAGCAGCATCTGTGTCAGTCTTGTTTACAGAACTGCCTAGATGTGAACTTAGTTGTTTCTGGAATTCACATTTGGCTTTCTCATCCTCCAGTTCAATCCTAATGGGTCTTCTTAGTGTAGTTTTCCTGAGTCCAGTGAGGCGTAGACAAATGCGTGCTCGTATTAAAGCGTGATCAGAGTCTAAACAAGTATTCCAATACGAGCCATAATCTTCTATCGAGCCTCTCTAACAATGACTGATGGCAATATGGTCTATTTGAGTCCATCGTTGGTTTGATGCAGGAGGTCGCCATGTTAGACGATATCTCTCCTTATGCTTAAAATTAGTGCTTGATAAAAATAAACGATTGTCTGAGCATAGTTGCAACAGACGATCACCATTATTTGTTCGTTGAGCCGGAATACTAAAACAACCACCTAAATGTCTTTCTGTTTGATTTAAGCTGCCTACCTGGGCATTAAAATCACCCGCTACGACTACTATGTCTGAGCGCTTAGCTTTCTGAAGAAGTTCAGAGAGCTTTCTGTAAGATTCATCTCTCACTTCATCATGGCTGCAATCAGTGGGAGCGTAGGCAGAAACGACGAAAAGGCAACAAAGTGTGTCTCTATCCTTCCGAGTTCTTACGGAGCCGTTTAGCCGGACAGCACACAGACGACTGTCAACGGGGTGTCATTCTAGCAGTGTTTGTTCTGCCCTCGTACTAATTGCTATGCCTACACCTGCAAGTCCACGAGAACTAGTTATCGGGTCGCCAGATACACGGAGGGTGTATTTCGTTGGCTGTCCATTTTGGCGAGGTTAGGTCAAGTGAGTGACCACACTGGGATCCTGTATGCGTGTTTCGGAGACACAGCATACATCAATCGTACGAGATTATAAGGTCTTAGCCAAAGGAGTCTGTTGACCGATTTGACTTAAAGTACGTACGTTGAAGACTCTAATGTGTAGTTTGGAGTGAGGTTTTAGTAGACTTGGACAGTGTTTCGCGCACTAGAATCGTTTGCCATGGTGACACTTGAGGAGGAAATCGAAAGAGGAAGTTTAGTGTTAAAAGTCGAGATAGAAGGAATAGTAGGAATTGAAGAAGGAGATTGATTATGAACACAGTGGTCTTGAGTGCTGTTAGAGGTATGAGGGCAGTTATCACTTCCCGGTTGAATAGATGATGTTGAAGAGGATGCCTGAGTAATATATGGCGGAGAAGAGAAACTGCTTGGCTTTGATTTAGAAGAGATATTTTTATTGACACCACTTGTAACTGCGTCACTGGTACATGCCACACTGGGTTCATAGTATGAAGAAACTTCACAAAGTGTTCGTTGAAATGATCCAGAATCGATGGATTTTGAATTACTAGTAGATGTAGGTCTAGGGCCAGCTGAACTGGATGACCTGAGGACTAGGCATGGTTTGGCTGCGACACGATAGTGAGTAGGATTTAACTCTTGGTCACAGACTTCACCAAATGGTCTTGAAACGCTACCAGTGCTGTGACTTCGACTTCGACCAGATACGGACTGACCAGATCTGGCAAATGAAGTATATATGCTATGAGTAGCTATCAGATCAACAGAATATCACTCAAGTCTGTATATAACTTATAAGAACAATCCTATCATAGTAAAACATGATTATTGGTATGTGGAAGTATCGAGGTATCAGATCAAACTACTGATATACTGAAGTGGATTATATTTTTTATCGAAGAACCAATTAGTTACTACGTATTTACACTAAAGAGTTTAATCGGTTTACTATTGAAGTATTTTTATTCATTTATGTATCACTTAAAACAGTGAATACAGTGATCTTAAGTGATGTTGGAGGTATGAGAACGGTTATCATTTACCGGTTTCTCACACCGTGGAAGGGTTTTTTTAGAGGTACCTGAAAAGGAAATTGGGTCAGAAGTGGACTTAATGACCTGACAGCGTGCCCAGGGGACAACTGCTTGAAATCGGTCACAAGTGACCCTTTTGTGGGTAATTTTTGTGTTAGCTCCTTACTTGTTGAGACCTTACCGCCGGAGACGGATATTCGTGGGATAAGGCGAGGTGTGCGTTTTTAGAGTCGACCTTTTCTAACCCCACCCCTCCTTGTGGGAAGGTAGCATTCCTGTTATGCTGGTTGTCTGAAGGAAACACCTTACAGCTGTCACACCATTGCTACTTTTAGTCTTATCACTCTTCAACCGACCTGCCTGGCATGGTAGGACCTTGAGGAACGATTGTTCCAGCCAGTATATCTCGATTGGTTCTTTACGATAGGGAAGCTCGACCACTACGACAAGGTAGCAGCAACGGTCGAACCTAATCATCCCTAGCCTCTGAATTGATTGGGTTAGTATCCCATAATCATACAGTTGTTCCAGAGAAAAGTGTTGTCAAATTCTGAATATGTGTGACATCTTTCCACTGGAGGATGCAAAAGACCCATCTTCTCCTATCTTCCACCAGTAAAATGTTAGTTTTCGAACACTATAACGTTTGAGAAATTTTGTAAAAAAAGCATTATATTTAAAGGCCCAATGAACTAGACAGACAAATAAACAAATAAATAGATAAACAAATAAACAAATAAACACTAAAATGCACATGAACTGGGGTACATGAATTTAATCTAAGCTTCCCTGGATACGGTTATTAACCCATGACCTTCTGAAACACTCTTGCTCTTATCGTAATAGAGAGACTTAAATCACCAACTAATATGGATTTGTAAGAACCCATATTCATCGATGTAAAATCAATCTAACCAGAATCAACCCGCGAATCAGAAGTCAATGGAAGATGGGCTACTAAAGACTAGATAAGATGATTCCATAAAAACACCCATTCAGAACTCGCGGCACAGAGAGAATATCCCACTCCTATTCACTTGCTGATTTTGAAATACGTGAACCAGTATAGATGACTAACTAAATTTGGTGAGCTCTTTTAAAACCTGAATTACAGTTGATTGTTTCGATAATGGACTTTTTTTAGATTATTCATGTATATTTCATACAGACAGATTGTTTTTTATACATATCATTCCCCAGATGATATCAAATCTTGCCCTTCAGGGAGAACGTCCGAAATATATTTTGCAATTGCATACAGTGTCCAAACCTATGACAAAGTGTGGTGATTTGAATTATTTGAATTATAGTATAAACTAGTAATCCCAGAAACAACGCCATTTAATCAAGAACAATAAGATGAACACGAACGAATGTATTGTATTTGGAATTCAAAATCAAGCAGTCATCAATACAAAAGAATCATAGGTTCATTCAAACATCACACAAAGCTCATACATTAGGATCTTTAACTTCCAAGCCTACTTCTTAGGGTTTAGTACATTGTTCTTTGGTGCTACCAAAAGGATTAAGCCCCTAATGTTCACTTTCGCATCTAATGAATAAGTAGTGGGGTAAATTTGACTGTTTGTTTGGTTATAAGTTACCCCAGTGAACTCACATTTCGCCTGGACTTCACAACTACTCACCATACGTTAGCAAGTTTAGAGAGTTACTTAGTGATCAACTCAGTTGAATAGTAAGTAACTGGTTACTGAGCGTCCATATGTTGCGTATGAGTCTTAGAGGATTTAACTATTAGAGAGGTGGATGGTTCCATCGTTCCTTAAAGTTTGGACTACATACTGATAATTAACGCCCTCATTCTTCGTTTTCATTTTTTCCGATGCAGGGGAGGCTGAGTTTCTTCTCCTGTTTGACTATCGTTGATGTTGTAGGGTCGGTGAAATGTCACTGAATATCGAACAGAACATCGGTCCCTGTCAAAGTCAAAGATAGTCAACGCGCATCAATCAATATATGCCATGGACTGGCCCATGCGGCAGTGGTTGTTCTTTCACTTCTGCAATTCCGTGGTTGTACCTTAACTAATATATTCTTGTAATAACGTCCTTTGTGTTGTACAGTCTCCATAGCCTCCATGATCCTTTGATGCGTCGATGGTTCAAACCACGTAAGGGCCGGTTGCGAGATGTGACTTCAGCGTTAGTTGGTTCGTCACCATTCTCATCTAACTATAGTAGGCCCCCAATCATTCGACATAGATCATCAACGTAGATGATTTTACAATGTTATTGAAACGGTTTTCAGAAAAAAAGGCTAGATGTGCTTGACCAAGTGCTTCAAGTATCCTAATCTTATATTTAACTCTCACAACTTTCCATTCTTAACTGTTTGAGACCAGTTAAAAAGTATTGGTTCCTAAATTCTTTCCTTCATCATGGTTTCTTCTAGTGTCCCTCGAACTACAACAGGCAGTTAATGGGCTATTGAGTTAATGAAGTTACAAGTGGAAACTCGATGTTTTCAAAATAGCCCTTAAAACTTAAGAATCACAACTTCAATGTTGATCGATATCATCTGGTCAGTTTGGGGAAGTTTCTTATTCCGTTATAGCTGGACCTAAGCAAACCACAATTTAGATATAAGCTCAGTTCTATCATAGGTCTTGTTACGGATCTCTATACCTTATAACAGAATCGTGTAGTTCCTTAAGTGACATAGGGTTTCCCGAGAGCCATGCAATCTAGTAACCCTTGATCCTGATCCGCACTAACTTTGTAACCAGCATTCATAAAATCAAATTTGAACACAATCGTTAAAATTAATCCTACTACTGCGCTACATATGCCCATAACTAGACGGCAGTTCAACCATGTTTAATGTTTTCCCTGATAAGCACTTTTCCTAATGTCTAAAGATTGATGAATGTTGGAATTTCCAGTGACATGTGATAAGTATTTAGAACTTGTGTACACTTCGTGTCTTACATTACAAATTTTTATTTGAGTTTCACTTTCCCCACGTAACTTACTAAATAACTGTTATGTTCACATACTAAGTGTAATTATGTACGTTGCAAAAGCAAGGGGTGTTAGAGGATAAAGTTTAACTTGCTTCAATTATAGCTTATTCAAACTCTGACTCGACATTGCTATGAGAATTACTGAAATGAGATATCTGTATAAAATAGAAATCCCGAAGATTGACTTACAATTGAGGATTTTTCGGGATTCACAGTGAGCTACCACTCCTAGTTTGCATCATTTTATCCCCACCTATTTCTTTTGATGAAAGAGACATCCGTAGTTTTTGATATTTAATGCGATTTGCTATTTAAATAACAATTCTCTAGATTGCTTACATAATGAGCTCTGTGGGATTAACTAATCAGTAACTTTTGTCCGTTGAAAAATCCCATATTTCCCAAGAACGTAGATGACACTGTAACTAAGGAACTCAGTTTGATTAGCTTCAATATATTATTTAGAGCAAATATTGGTATAACCAGGCACATCAGGTACCTGTGAAATGGCGAAAGAGTAATAATTACCATTAAGATAACCGAATGCTTCGAAAGTGCGGATAAATCTTCATCTTTGGACATAATAATAAAAATTAGGTTATCTTATTACAAAACGATTCATTTTCAAACTAGAGTAGAAATTTGTGTAACCAAGATGAAATCATTCTGTTAACTAAACTTACATTACTTGAATGAGTTAAAAAGTGTTTGTTCCAATAGGATTAATTATTTTTCGAATGGGAGGCTTTAAAGACCATCCTAGCTGGTTAACTGACCACAGCTGTGAAGTCTGTTATCTGAATACTGTTCAAATTATTTCAAGGGAAGGAAACGGCCATTTTCTTGTAGTAGGCATGGAGTAGCGGTCGACAATGATCACCACAACAGGAAGACTGCGTATTAGTTGCTAGGCTAGACCTCTCCGAAGGCCAAATATCAAAATGCAGTTGAGGGTTGTAATAAGATGTATTTGTTGGCAATTCATGGTATGGAAAAAAAATACCAAGATCGTGCCAAAATCCACAAGCAAGACTACTGGGCGTACGAGAGTTTGTGCAAGGTCACAAACAACGAAAAAGTGTTTTTTGGTACACTTAAACAAACAGGTACATTAAAACAATCACTGGTACAGTTGGTTATGATAATAATTGTTTCCATTATGTCAATTGCGTTCTCTTTATGAAAGTAGGTCATTACATTCTCATACTTTAAATAATTTACAATGAATTATTTCCAACCGCTTGACATCTCACCATAGTGCAAGCAATGTTGTGTTACTCAGATTAGTGATCAGATTGATCAATAGAGTTAGATCAGCTTTAGAGAGACTGGATAAACATAACAGTAATCACTACTCAGTGATCCATTAATTGTATGTGTTATGTCCCGAAGAGAATTATGAATGTTAACTTTTGAGAACTATTTGTGGACCAATATGATACTTATATTTCTTATTGTTAAGTAAATAAACTATTCATATTAATGTTCCTCTTATTATTGACCCATAGACTATTATTATACGACTTACCATTCTTGAGTTATTCTCAGTCTATTGATTAATTTCCCCCCTCTTCACAACCACATTTGGCCAAATCTTGTACAAATGTTATTTTCTATTTTATGGTACAATATGGTCAGTTTGTTTGGTATATAAACTCAATATGTTTGAGAATAATGATTTATATTGCAAAGGTTGTTATTGGTGTTCTGGACTTAACTGGCTGGGTTAGGCAGACAGCAGGACCGACTAGTGCTCTAGACTGCTCGTACGGGTTCACGTGTATCATTGTTCCCATCGATAAATCGCTGCTCTCTAATAGGTGGGTACAAGATATAACAGTATGGTTACTTACTTACTTGCTCCCTCTACTTTTTTTACTTACTTGACTAATCAATGGATGGATTAATTCATTATATAGGCTTACTATTCTTCATAGGATCCAAGCTGCCAGTCAGAGATCAACTGTATAGAACTTTACAACTTAGACTGAACAGTGAAGGAATTACTCAAAACTCTTCCATTGAAGGTAATCAAAATAAGGACTGATCAATAAAGTATATATAAGATTAATTGCTAATATCTTCATGTCTTTGTATATGTCTTACATTTTACATTGAATGAAACCAACTAAATTAAATACACGAAGTAAAAACACTAAAAAGAAAATAAGTTCTGTATTACTGATATCATTCATATTAATATGAGTATAATAATATACAATGTTAATTGAATACAATTAAATAAACTGTAAAATAGTAATTACATGGTTCAATTATTCATTTGGAAATAATAAATAGAACAGGTTAGATACCCTTATTGTTGTTATGTTATTAGAATTATATCATTTTCTTTAAATTTCTATTACTCAAACATATTTGATAATATAAGAAGAAAAAAAAGTGTAAAATTATGAAAGATTCATTGTTTTGAAAAGTTTTCCTCAATAAAATGATACAGTGTAATAAGAAGATGAAGATTATCAGAACTATGTGATGATGCATCAGTGAAATATATTTCGAACAATCTGATCACACATACCATTATTATTATTATTATTATTATTATTATTATTATTATTATTATTATCCATGTCTCCTCTTACCCCTCCCCCATATACTTGTTGAGAAGGTCAACTAGGCTGGAAATGGGGGGTAGGAGTGGACAAGGATAACAAAAATAAAAATAATGAAACCTAATCACTCTGAAATAATAAGCTATTATTATTATTATTATTATTATTATTATTATCCTTGTCTCCTCTGACCCCCCTCCCATTTCCAGTCTAGGTGACCTTTTATTTTTTTATATATAAATGTTCTTAACAAGTATATGTGGGATCAGATTGGTTCGAAATATATTGTACTAATATATTATCACATAGTTCTGACAATCCTCGTCTTCTTATTACACTATCGAAACGTATCAAAGGGACTAATGGCTTTAAAATTATACAGTTGAAGTAAATAAAATCATCGACAAAACAAAAGAATAATGATTAATTTACGAATAGTTTGTTCACTTATTCAATATTTCCATTTATTTATTTATTTTTAAAAATTTTGTTCTCCTGGATACCAAATGATAAATCTGTATTGTTTATACGATACACAAATATATATACCAATGTTCAAATAAATGACATAATTTTTGATGGTGGAATTTGTAATTCATAATTGACCTGTTTTTAATAGAGAATAATAAACATGAGTTTAAGTAGTATATATTGTTGTAAACAAAAATAAAATAAAATGTATTTTAAAAAAATGAGTTCAATGAATAAATCAATTAATCATGAATAATAAATAAACTGAATCATGAGTCAATTGAAGCTAGACCACCAAGGAAAACCTGAAAGCACTGGACGGCCATTTCGTCCTACTGTGGGACTCCTCCTTGGCGGTGCGCATCCACGACCTCGCCTCACGAGATTCTAACCCAGGACCTACCAGTCTCGCGCCAGAGCACCTGACCGATAGACTACTGAGCCGGCATCTGATGGTCATGGATGCGCACTGCTAAGGAGTCCCACAACAGGACAAAAGGGCTATCCAGCGCTACCAGGTTTTCCTTGATGATCTAGCTTCAACTGACTCATGCTTTCAACTATGCAAATACTAAATCTCCACAAGAAACCCCTTCTGAAAATAAACTTAAGTTAATCTGCTTTGATTTAAATGAACAAATTTCATCTCAGCACAATAAGACAAAGTTAACCAGATGAAAATAATAACGGTATTAGGAATAGTATAGAGACGAAAATAGACCGTAGTTAGTAAAGTGAACTAATTTAATGTATTGATTTAAGTGCTTCTAATCTTCTTCTTCAAAAATATCTCATTCATTACCGATCGGTTGAACAGTAATTGAATATATACGTAATTGATATGAGACGATTTAACTATGACGTAAAAACTTCCGAAGCTATTCTTTTACGATTATATATATTGCATTTCTATTAAGCATTTTACACTTAGAAACTAGAACCGATTATCTGTGTACCCAGTATTACGTTCTTCACATTTTTAATTTTGTTATCCCATATTAATACTATGACACAATTGATCTGCTGTATGGTCTGGTCAAATATGCATATAAATGAATGTCTAAAATATAGTAACGATCTTGTACTGATGATCATTGATTTTGTGTTTTTTCGCTTCGTTTGTTGCTAGTTATTATTGGGCCAACCTCCAAGCATAGATAGACGATATTATTATTATTACAAGTGAACATATAAACATTTAGAATACGCTCAAAAGTTGGCTTTTACATTCATCAATTTATTTTGAAACAGTGAGAAGGAATGCAAATTTTTTTAAAAGTGTGACAAGTGATCTTTCATTTTTCTAGATTTTTCGGGGGAAATTTATTCAATACTGATTAGATAAACCATTTCTTTGAGTTTTTCGGGCTTCGAAAAACTTTGACGATGGATATTTCTGTACTCTTCATTACTTTGAACAATGAAAGGCTGTTCTCCAAAGATTCTAGTTGATTTATATTTTAAATATAACATGCAGTTTATTGTACAAATCTTCGCGTGATTGTTAAAATTAAACTATTATTTATTATATCATCTTTTGTATCTATTCAAATGACTGTTATCTTCATTAGATAATGAACAATCCTCCAACCATTAACCCCTCAAGATAGTTTTAATATTGACTAATTTCATTGTACTATCATTTTCATAAATTTTCTATATTCTACTCTCATAAATTCAATGACAAAGGTGGATTTCCTACCATCCATGATTAATTTTAGATAAAATGTTCTCGACTTGGGTGTTAATATGTCTTATCTTTTTGCTCCCTCCAGCACTAATAATCTCCGAGGTCATAGCAAGAAGGTTCACAAACCGCGATCTAATAAACTAAAGATGGGGTCCCGTTTTTCTCATCCAGTGGTCTATGACTGGAACGCATTACCCGAACAAGTGGCATCAGCCCCATCAGTGAATATTTTCAAGGAGAAGCTGGACCTTCACTGGAAGGCAGTCATCAACCTACGATCCTTATTACTGAAGACTGATACAAAGTTTAAATAATGAAATTACTAGTTCTACTGATTCTCTTTACAACATAATCTTTCTTACCTTAGAATTCATATATTGTTGTAATAAATGTCGTAGTTCAGCATTTTGTTTTCTTAAACCATCTGTATCATGTATTAATTTGGCTCGATGTTTTAATATATTGTAATATTTTTCTAAAGCTATGTATAAATTATTCCATATTTCTTCCCATTCTTCAGTAACTATATTCTGTCTGTTTACATAAATGTATAAATGTGTATAGTGAGAATAAGAAGAGTATTATTAACATGTATTAAAAAAATTTTTTCATTGATGATTTTAGAATATTAATAGTTAAGATCATGAATCAATTGAAGCTAGACCACCATGGAAAACCTGGAAGCACCGGCCGCAAGATCATGGATCTATTAACACTGTAGGATGTTGGTTCAGTGGTCTAGAGGTTAAGCGTTCGCACGTGAGACCAAAGCTCACAGGTTCGAGTCCTACATGGGGGATCGTGGATGTGTACTGTTGAGGAATCCCATACTAGGGCGAAACGGCCGTATGACATAGTGTTTTCAAGTTTTCAATGGTGGTCTAGCTTACATGGACTCATATGTTCAACCATCAAAATTACTATAATTTCCATAAACCCTCATTCTGATCATAATTTCAGAGTATGCTCAATGATGTGTCACATAACTTTGGTTTACTTTATTTCAACTAGTGGCATTACTTAGTGTCTATTAGTTGAATTTTTTTTTAAAGTGTTTTCGCTGAGAATGGATAACAACTGGAATGACCCGGAGTAAAATCTTAAGGCAAGTATTGTTTCACTTATGCGTAAATAATCTTCCTAATTCTTGACCATTATTGGTCTTGTTATTTGCCAAAGATATCAAAATATCCGCCAATGATGAATTTATCCCAATGGCAACTAATCAACTGAAACCTTTAATATTAACAAACAGGAAAGTAGAAATCCGTACCAGTATAGAATACAATTCAAAAAGAACAAACGAAATTAAGGAAATCAAAATAGTGGTTGATTAATAATGAAATGATAATCATGCGTCACCAGTAAGAGTGTGATGTAGTTTGCCACTGAAAAAAGACGGACAAAATTCTCTGTAAACTAGTATGTAGATTAATGTTACATGTGAAAGACTAATTTCATTGTATGACTGATACATATTTTTTGTCAGTTAATTGTAGTTCTAAACTATCGTCTGGTTCTCATCCATTCATGGGATATTATGGAAGTAAGTACTGCTTGATCTAGTGTGCCTTATCGTACTGTTTATAGTACTTCACATCAGTAGGATCAAATCCGTTATCATTTTCGCATTTATGATAAACTAATAGATTCTCACTGCTCCAATCGATTTTAAACTGTATCATCTAAACTCATCAATCATTGTTTCTGATTACAGCATAAACATAAAACAGGAAAGTTTCACGAGACGACAACTGTTAGGAACGGGTTAATAAGCCAAAAAAGGGTACTTTGAAATATGTTCCCCAGGAAATCACTATCGATAATTTTGCTGAGTATAGTCTAAGGGCTTATTATTGTTCAATACTTAAGAGCTGATTAAACTTATCGACTGTCGATATATGATTTAAAATTCACTAATCACCGTTAATTACTTATATACCTGTTACTCAGTTTTTGTACCACAAATAACATGATGTTTTGTACAGATTAAAGTTTATTATTTATGGAGCGTTATGATCTTATCTTTGATGTAAATGATCGTTATTTTTGGGATAAACGGAGTGCTAGGTTGGGTTGTATCGAGTACTGTGTGATCAAGACATAGTGACAGGAAAGTGGTTTTATGACTACTCTCATACACTCTCTCTAATCCGATTATCGATTGGTTCACCTGTATTCCCAGTAGAACCTGTGACTTTCCATTTGCCGATCAACATAACGACCAATAAACAATAATCATGATTTTACTCCTCGTTGGTCCTCGAGTTCCTTTTAACCCAGTAGTCAGTCAGAAAATGAAGATATAGAACAGACGTTTTCTAATGCTCTCAATTATTAGCACAACTGGATGATTTATGATGTATACATAACTCGGTAACAAGTGATAAAAAACCAGAGAAATAGGATATTAATTAATTAATGATAAATCTGAAATAATACGACATATGGCAAAAATTTATAGATCAAACAAAAGCTTAGAAATGGTACATAAAAAGTACGACAGTCTAAGCACTCACTAGTTATACAACAAAAATATAAATAATAATAATCCTTTACATATTATAGTTTTACACTATTAGCCCCACTAAATCAATAATCATTTAAGATTTTTGAGTTTGAATAATTGAAAATATATCAGGTAAATTTTTTTTCCTTTTTTGATTTGAAAGTTAGTAACTAAAGAAGATTCAATTATTTTCAGTATAATATTGTAGAGATTGTTGAAATTTATTAAAATCATGAACTGATATAAGTTAGACCACTAATGAAAATCTAAAGTCACTGGATGGTTATATTATTCTAGTATGAGACTCATCGACAGTGTACATCCACGATTCCACATGAAGAAACCAAATACTATTGAATTCCAGCTCAGTAATCTATAGGTTAAGCATTCGCACGTGAGGCCAAATGTCCTGGGTTAGAGTCCCACATGAAGGATCGTGGCGCATACTGCTGTAGAATCCTATACTTGAATGAAACAGTCGTCCGATGCTTCCAAGTTTTTAATAGTGGTCTAACTTAGGTCAGTTTATAATTTCAATCAAAAACATTTATTTATGTTAGTTGATTAGATGAAATTTATTATTAAATAATTAAAACTCCACTGGTTACTGCTTCTCACTAGAACTCCAGGAAATACCTCATGGAGCCAGTCACTAGTGAACATATGATCATTATCAGAAGGGGGGTTTTGTGGAGATTTTAGTAATTTTATATATAGTTGAGATCATTAGTGAATTGAAGCTAGACCACCATCGAAAACCTGCAAGCACTGTTTGACGCCCGTTTTGTCCTATTGTATGGCTCCTCAACAGTGCGCATCCACGACCCCGCCTCATGAGATTCGAACCCAGGACCTATCAGTCTCGCACCAGAGCACTTAAACACTAGACCACTGAGCCAGCCGGCATCCAACGGTGTTAATGTCTAACTTTAACCAATCCACGAAATCGAGCAACCATTCACCAATGTCTTCAGTTAGTTGATGTCTCCCAACAGACCTAGTTAAAATCGACTGGTCACTGCTTCTCACTAGAACTCCAGGAAATACCTCATGGAGCCAGTCACTAGTGAGAATATGATAAGGGCGTTGTTTGTGGAGATTTTTTAGTAATTTTTATATATAGTTGAAATCATTAGTCAATTGAAGCTAGACCATCATGGAAAACCTGGAAGCATAAATTAATATCAACCACAAAATTGAAAAACAAAAATCTTACTTACTTATATTTATTCCAATATATTAAATCTTTTGAATCATCACGAATTCTATAATCATCAAATTTATTAATTTTATTACTAATATTATTATTAGTATTATCATTATCATTAATGGTATTTTGATCATTTGAAAGTTCACGTTTACGCATATCTTCAGTAAATTGATATATTGCATCAATAACATGTACCGGTGAAATTAAATTCCATTTTAATATAGATTTTTCAGTTTTATGACAAATAGGTGACTTTGGAGAAGGGAAAGGAAAAACAAAAAAAAACAATAAAATTTATTAGTTTTCAACTTATTTATCATTTTCATAGTTGAAAGCGCGAGTCAATTGAAGCTAGACCACTAGGGGAAACCTGGAATCGGTTAAGTGCTCTGGCGCGAGACTGGTAGGTCCTGGGTTTGGATCTCGTTAGGCGAGGTGGTGGATGCGCACTGCTGAGGAGTCCCACAATAGGACAAGTTGGCCGTCCAATGCTTCCAGGTTTTTCCTGGTGGTCTAGCTTCAATTGACTCACGCTTTCAACTATGAAAACACTAAATCTCCACAGAAAACCCTTCTGATCATTTATCATTGTTGTTTTGTGTAAAAAGTGTTTTTTTATCATGAATAAATTAGTGTCATTTTGAAGAATTCTCTACCATTTCTTATAGATGACGTTCCCAGAAACTATATATATATATATATATATATATATATATATATATATATATCACTTTTAGGCTTTCGAATTGGAATTCGTTGATTAAGATTATTTACTTCAGTCCATTTCGCGACAGTGTGCAATTATTTCCTAAATGTATTTAGTGAATAACTGACTACCTCACTCCCAAAGTAGTCGAATATTATTGGTTACACTAAACTTATCCATAAAAAATTCAACTAACTGAATACTATTCTGTAATTTTGCCCCCAAGTACCCTGGTATGGCCGTAGGTGGAGAGAGTCCACTCTCCATCTCCAAATACTCTCACACGGCCATGAGTATACAGCCACTGCTAGGGAGGTCCTACTCACTGCCTTCTCTTGGCGGGGGTATTTTTTACGAATTTGAGAGGACGAAAAGCAAGTGTCCGACGCTTTAACCTGTCTAGTGGATTTGGAGTGTCCACCTAGGGGAGTTGGAAAACCCTCATTCCAAACCAATGGTGCACATGAGCTCCACTATCCTGAGGGAATAAATGGTGTATGAATCAATCGTTGGTCACCGGCTAACATGGGACTGCATCTCCTTACGTTGCTCCACTGCTTTGTGGACCAAACATTTAGGTCAAAGGCTCTGGGTGTGACTCTCTAAGGAAACCACCTGCTTCGGTCGGGCACCCGGACAATATTACAGCCCACACACAGATAAGGTGACTTGTGTGGCGCATATCAATTTGGTGCCTCATTGTACCAATGTTTATGTGTTTAAGTGAATAAATAGTTAGAGTACTTTTATTTTGTTTGTTGAACAAATGAAATTCATATTGTTTTCCTAAAGATAGATTCAAAGCAATGATGATCTAAAATGTTGGGAAAATAACACTGACAACATTCATTTTTATAAACAACTGTAAATGAAAATGACCATAATTGACCACATTCAAGTGTTATTTCAACGATAATAAATGCTATATCAAATATCACTTCTTGAAACTCTTACAAGTTGGTCGTTATTAATCAATTCATTTATTCCTACTGCGTATTGAATAAACAAGGTTTAAACAACAAATATGTATTAAATTGAAGACAATCAACAACCTTAAATCAAGATATAGTGTACTTGACATTGAGTCGCATACACTAGTGGTGACATTGGAACTCGACTGGTAGGACTCAATCAATATTAAGGATTAGACATAAATGACATTGATCACTACCAGTTGAACAATTTATATGAATACCCCAGTCAAACAGGTCAGTCACCGGATTAAATGATCAGTGATGACATTTCAGATTGTGAAGTTGGATGATTCGGCCTCCAATGAGATATAGATTATCCATTTCTTGCAGATTCCTAGTATGCCTTGCTAACAGATATCAAGTGACACGAAACCTAAGTCAAATAGGGTTCCCTGCTGACTACCTCCAACCATCATACAAATAAAATGCCTCAACTGAGTAATAAACGTGAAAGTAATAAATACCTCGTAACAAGTGGTATCGTAGTAACAATATTAAACCAAACAATGGTTTAGAAAGATTATCAGTGTAGGGGTTTGAAGAGATTGTTGAATTGTGTATATTATATCACAGATTGATCTTAGTTAGACAACCATTGGAAAACAGGGACCATTGGATTTTTATGTTGTCCTTCTGCAGTGAACAACCATGAATCAATCCATTGAGGATTGAAATCAGGACTTTAAGATCTTTCAGTGACAGTTTAACCTTAAGACCACTGAGCTGACATTCAGTATCCTACATATCTAACATCAATCAATTTAAAATGTTGCTTAACCGTCTTCTAATGCCATCGTTTAGTGACTACTTCACGGATGACAGTCACAATTTCACGCTGGAAGTCCTAGAATTATCTCTTTCATTAAGTTATTACTAATTTTTTTATATACCTAATTTAAAAAACATTTTGATGATTTTATATAGTTGAGATCATGAGTCAATTGAAGCTAGACCACCGTGGAAAACCTGGAAGCACTGGATTGATTGTTTTGTCTAAAAATATATTTCATTTTATCTGGTGAAGAAAGGAATTAAAAAAGGAGTAGAAATAAGACTTACTTCATCAGTTTTTACTGAACATTTCCCAGTAGCAGTTGATTGAACTTCATTGCTTTCATTTTGTACAATTTTGAGAGTTTCATTCATTATATCAGATGACTCTTGTAAACTCTGTAAGCTGACATATCTCGGTGGAGATTTCTGAACAGATTCATCTGTGAAATTTGATTTGATTGGGTAAATTTTTTATTTAAATCTAATAAGATGATTATTTTAAAAATTCAAATTGAAGTTAGACATTAACACCATCGGATGCTGGCTCAGTGGTCTATCGGTTAAGTGCTCGCGCGCGAGACTGGTATGTCCTGGGTTCGGATCTCGCGAGGCGAGATCATGGGTGCACACTACTGAGGGGTCCCATAATAGAACGAAACGGCCGTCCAGTGCTTCCAGATTTTCCTTGGTGGTTTAGCTTCAATTGGCTCATACTTTCAACTATGAAAATTCTAATTAATTATAATCTATCCAAGACTCTCATCAACTTTAGTTGACATACTTTACATTAGGGAAGTGAAGATCATAACTGAAGTATAAGTATTTGTTGTCATCCGATTGGAAAGATTATAGTTTACATTACAGATTGACTTAAGCTAGAGAACTATTGGAAACCAGAGGTGGGTGAAAATCTGTTTTGTCTTCGTTTTAGCCTCTTTAGTAATATGTTCCTAAAACATGCCTACTTCTTTAAGATTTCATTTGAGATAGTACTTATACTAAACGCACATTATTTGACAATATATATTATTTAAAAGTAACCATATATTGTTGACGATGTTCATAGTATTCATCGGGACTTGAAAAAGCAACTCCACCACAATTTCGAATCAATTGGTTTGATCTACATGCTTCAATTTAATCAAAATAATTCAGATCATCATCTGGGATAAGATAGTACTTTGATTGGTACTCATCGACTGACTAGTGTAATCCGACGAAACTCTTTGGCCTTCCCCCTCCGATCGACAAACAAAAAGAAGCCATATAGATCATTTGTGATGGAAACTCTAACAACTAATAAATACAATAAAAATGTTTGCAAAACTCCGAAACACTCTAAACACTTTTAAAGTTAATCAAACTAAATAAATACAGATCGTTATTGTTAATGAATGATAAACAAACAAGTTACTAGGGGTGTTCAACAAAACCAACGGAAGGCATTTCGTCCTTATTTTTGACTTGTCGGTTGGATGTACTAGGACCTTAGTACCGATGTTCACAATAATGTATAAATCTAATACCGAATGAAATTATTATAGCATTTAATTATTATAGCACTTATAAAAATGACTGGGTTAAGGATAGGGTACTAGGTAAAGTTGGGAAATCGATTGATGAGGTAGTAAATCTTCATCAACTGAAGTGACTGGGACATGTGTTATGTATTCTCAGCCACAGTTTACCTCGACGACCGACGTCAATAGGTGCAGACTATCTAGTTGTCGTTCGCAGGATTATCATAACCAATGTCTAGAGACTTTGAATAATATGGCTCAAAATCACTTGCAATAGTACAAGTGTATCTATTCTCTAGCTTCCCCCAAACTCTGGGCCAATGAAATTTTCAAATCGTGTTTTGTATCTTTATTTCACTAATTTGTATTTTTTTTAATTGCATCTTCGATACTGAATCTTTACTATTACTGATACTGTTACGAACTCTACTACACTGGAATTCGATGTGACAATTTCGTCTCTGTGTGCTTTGAACCAATGTACATAATCACGGATTCCACATAGTCACTGACTGACTGACTGAGTACTTTCAACAATATTGGAAGTTGGATTAATCTTATAATACTCTGACAAATCATATATACATCAAGTTAATTTGTATTATATTTGTAGAAAAATTTATTACTGCAAACAACTGTGTTAAACTTCATTAAATTTACTTGATTCTTCAGTGGTTGTTGAAGATATACGTTCAAATTGAGATTGATTATCTTTCTGTTGTTCGATAAAATATGTAAATAACATGTTTAAATCTTCTTCCGTTTGTACACCTAAAACCTTCATTGAAAACAACAACAACAACAACACACCAATGATTCAAGGTTTTAAAACTTCATAATGTTTTCATGAAACAAGCATATCACATTTCCGAAATTATGCGACAGAATAAGTGTATTTATCATGTTTCAATTCTAATAAGGAGTTATAATTTGAGGCCATAATGTAGGATGACCACCTTAGGGATGTCAGTTGTCTACACACTCTACTTTTACTCAACAGTTGTAACTTTTTCTGCCTCAAACTTATTTAAAAAAAGATTTTTATTTATTTATTTATTTATTTAAGCATATAAATATTGGTACAATGAGGCACCAAAGTGATATGCACCGCACAAATCTCATTCGATTTGTGTGAGGGCTGTGATACTGCCCAGAAGCTCAAACTGAAACAGGTGATTTCCTGAGGGGGCCACACCCAGAGCCTTTGACCTAAATGTTTGGTCCACAAAGCAGTGGAGCAACGTAAGGAGATGCAGTCCCATGGTACCTGGTGACCATCGATTGATTCATGCACCATTTATTCCCTCAGGATAGTGGAGCTCATGTGCACCATTGGTTTGGAATGAGGGTTTTCCAACTCCCCTAGGTGGACACTCCAAATCCACTAGACCAGTTAAAGCGTCGGACGTTCGCTTTTCGTTCTCCCAATTTCGTAAACCACATCCCCGCCACGAGAAGGCAGTGAGTAGGACTTCCCTGACAGAGGCTACATACGCGTGGCAATATGAGAGCATTCCGAGAGGGAGAGAGGACTCTCCCCACGTTCAGTCGTACCAGGGCATTTGGGGGCAAAAAGAATTCACCCAACTGATTCAATTATGATCATTAAGTTTTTATCAAACTTAAAACTATCGAAGATAAAATTTACATCTGTACGATGGGAAAATAATGTTTTGAAAAATATTCACATTCTAGATTTATTCTACTTTCAGTAAACTGAAAAAAGAAAGTGATTATCATTTTAGTTCCATATAGTGAGAAAATTGAATCAAATTCGCTCAGGCAAAATCAATTAATGAACAGAAAGACTGAAATTTCTATTTTTACAAAGTTGTATAAATCATTTCAGTTAGATTAAAGACTAAACTTTGAATGACGATAAAATGGATAATGTAAAGAACAGAGAATAAATGGAATGTGGCTAGCAGTGGAATCCAAGATGTGCATTTAGTCCTATTAAGGACTCGTCATTTGAATGTACCTGGATCTCAGAGTTGATGTCCACTGCAAGAATCGAACCCGGTACCGTTTACTTCAAACGTCATCGTATTATTCACTCAGCTACTGAATCCATATAACCAATCACTTACACAACGAGCATGAGATCGAATTCAATTTGAAATGGTTTGGACTGAACTTGGATTAGTCTTCGTTGATATATTGGCACCCAGTGCGAATTGCCTGTTTCGGTTATTGAAACCATTGTGAAAGATATACTGAAGGTATAAAATGTTTTTACACAACTGTAGCCTACTTTTCAATGTAATATTTTAAAAGAGAATGAGAGTTGAGATTAATAAACCATAAAATTATCAAAACAAGACATGATGCTGATTGGTGACGTCACACTTTAACTCATAATTTGTTCATGAGTCGACCTAAGCTAAATCACCATTGAGAACCTGGAAGCACTAAACGGCCGTTTCTTCCCAGCATGGGACACCTCAGCAGCGCGCATCCATGATTCCTTACGTGGGACCTTTGGTCTCGTGCTGGAACGTTTAATATAGTGTATTCAACTGTTAAAATACTACAATCTTCACAAATATCCATACTAATAATAATCATTTGTTCACTAGTGACCAGCTTCAAGATGGATCCCCTATAGTCCTAGTGAGAAACTGTGACAAGTGGAGTTCAGTCCATGTCGAGTGTGAGACAGTTGTTCACCTCAGACAATGGATGAAGGGTTGCGCAAGATCATGAGTCAGTTGAAGTTTGACAGTAACACCGTCGGATGCCGACTAACTGGTCTAGAGGTCATGTGTTCTACTGAGAGACCAAATGTCCTGAGTTAGAGTCCTTCATGAGGGGTCGTGGATGAACACTTCTGAGAAGTTCCATATTAGCACGAGACGGCTGTTCAGTGCTTCCTGGTTTTCACTGGTGATCTAAAATTGATCGATTCATGATTTCAATAAGAACTCAACGATCTCCATAACCCTACACTGTTAATATTTATTCAATACAATTTTTTTTCAAAAACCTACTTACCGTTAGTATTATATCTAGACGTAGAAGTAACCCTTCTTCATATCCTAACGGTTCTAATAAACGTTTCATGTTTTCATCAATTAAAAATTCCTACAATTATTGTTATAAGATAAAAAGTGTTAATGTCATTTAACTAAAATGTAAGTTGATAAGAGTTCAAATTTCTCTTTGCTTTTTATGCATCAATATTGAATATAATTGTTAACTCTCAACAAGTAGTATGAGGCCAATTATCATTTTGTAAATGTTCAATAGAAGTGTATGATCTGGCTGGACGATTTAGACTTCACAGATGTTCTGGCTCTTCTATCACAAACGCAACAACAAATGCAAGAGAAGACGACCAGTGTTGCAGCAACCTCAGCAGCAGTAGGTCTCTATATAAACAAAGGGAAAAGCGAGACTCTCCGATACAATACAGCATGCACCAATCGAATCACACTTGACGGAGAAGCTTTAGAGGACGTGAAAACCTTTTACATATCTGGGTAGCGTCATTGATGAACACGGTGAATCTGATGCAGATGTGAGGGCGCGGATCGGCAAAGCAAGAGCAGCATACTTACAACTGAAAAACATCTGGAACTCAAAACAATCGACAATCAACACCAAGATCAGAATTTTCAATACAAATGTCAAGACAGTTCTACTGTATGGGGCGGAGATGTGGAGAACTACGAAAGCCATCATCCAGAAGATACTGGTGTTAATTAGCAATTGTCTACGCCAGATACTTCGGATCCGTTTGCCAGACACTATCGGCTACAATCTACTGTGAGAGAGAACAAACCAGATTCCAGTGGAGGAAGAAATCAGGAGGAAGCGTTGGAAGTGGATAGGACATACATTGAGGAAATCACCCAACTGAGTCACAACGCAAGCCCTCACATGGAATCCTGAAGGCCAATGGAGAAGAGGAGGACCAAAGAACATATTACGCCGAGAAATGGTGACAGACATGAGATAAATGAACAATAATTGGATAGTACTAGAAAGGAATGCCCAGGACATAGTGGGTTGGAGAATGCTAGTAGGCAGCCTATGCTCCACTGAGAGTAACAGGCGTAAGTAAGTAAGTCAATAAAAGTGTGATATCTCAAATTTTCTAGCATCTTATTGTCCATACAGTGTGTTAGTGGTGTATATAAGATTATAACTTTCTCAGGGAATTTCATTTTCATCTTCTGTAGCTATCCGTAGATGTCTTCTATAGAACACGTCAGTTAAACGAGCAAATAAAATGAAAACTAGAGCCTGAAATGAAATCCAATGTGAAAATTATGTTCTTATGTCCAGGATTCATTTACTAAATGATTATGTACGTATATTGAACGTTGAAAAGCGAATCCGCTACAAATTCACGAACACATATTCCATCCCCAGTTAGTATAAACTGACAGATGGAGGAGAGGTATTCGTTATTCTGAGATTCAAATGTATGCCAGTCAGCAGTACAAAGCCACTACCCTTATCATTACGTTACTTAGGAAAACAACATTAAAAAACGACAACCATGATTAGCTGATAGTCAAATTTTGACGACCCAATACCGTTCACTGTTGTATAATGTATTTAAATCATCATATTGGATAAACTAGTTGATATAGTTTGATGTAATTTTTTTAAATGAATCACTAAACGTTCACTTCTTGTAGAGTGGACACAGTCAAGAGTTCAGCAAATATCCTATCACAACATAGGATATAGATTGTAGCATATCACGAAAAACACCAAACGTTTTACTCAGTGTGGATGTATTGTCGGTAACTCATTCAGTCAGTCAAAACGTAGAACTTCGTACTTACGTACATCAGTTCGAGTTGCCATACCACATTAGCACAGAGATGCAGTTGTCGGTTCAAATCCCATAGTGGTAGAAGTAGTAGGAGTATAATCAGAAATCCAAAAGATTAGGGTTTGAAGAAATTATTGAAGGAGTATAGTACAGTGAAATAAATTTGGAAAGAGAAAAAGATATAGGTTTGAAAAATTCAGAAGATTAGAACTTGCTAGAACACAAAGAGTGGATGCACCTTCGCCATTGCAAACGATTTTGAGCCATGTCATTCAAGGTCTCTAACCATCGGTTGCTGTCATCTCGCGAATCCCAACCAGGTAGTCTACACCTACCAACATGGCCCAGTCCACTTGTCAGTGACTTCATTGATTTGTGCCACGTTTTGGTCTGGCCGCCCATAGCTTTCTTCCAACCTACTCCTACACCATGAAACATTGCACGTCGGGGCAGTCGGTGGTCGGGCATACGTAACACATGTCCCAGCCATCTCAACTGATGAAGTTTCACTACTTCATCAATCGATTTGCCATCCCTACCTAGTACTCGTTTCCTAACAACTGCATTACTTACCCGGTGGTCCAAGGATATACGAGCAATGCTTCGAAGACACCTATGATCGAACACTAGTAGCCTACGAATATCCTCTACTCTTATTGGCCATGTTTCACTGCCATAGAGTAGGACGGAGCGAACTGCTGCACAGTAAACCCGTCCTTTGGTTGCTAGACGGATATCTCGCCTACGCCATAAATGACGCAAGTTGGCGAAAGCTAGACGAGCCTTCTGTATCCGTGCTGAGATTTCGTCACATACCAGACCACAAGGGCTGATGAGACTCCCAAGATAAGTGAAGCAGTCAACACGCTCAACTACTTCACTCCCTATCATTAGTTCAGGTGTCGATGCAACCCAATCCTGAAGTAACATTTTGCACTTCGAGGGAGAGAATCGCATTCCGAACATGCCTGCATAGTTGCTTATAGTGGTCAGAAGACTCTGCATGTTGTCAGCGTCTTCACCGAGTAAAACTATGTCGTCGGCGTATTCTAAGTCAACAAGTGAATCTCCTGGTAAAAGTTCAACTCCTGGAGGTTTAGCTGATGAAAGTGCTATCTCTAAAAGTATGTCAATGACAAAGTTAAACAAGAATGGGGAGAGTGGACAGCCCTGACGAACGCCACTTGTGGTAATCAGTTCTGATGACAGTTCGCCATAGGCTCTAACTCGACCAGTTGTGTTCGAGTAGAGAGCCTTTATGAGGTTAATGTACTTCTTTGGTACTCCTTTCAGTGACAAACATTGCCATAGAACCTCACGATCAACAGAGTCAAATGCCGCCTTAAGGTCAAGAAATACTACTATTGTGGGAGGTCTGAATTTGTGTCTATGTTCTAGAACCTGACGTAGGGTGAATATCTGGTCTATGCAACCACGTCCAGGTCGAAAACCAGCTTGGTTTTCTCTAGTCTGCTCTTCACGAGCTTTGGTTAGGCGACCTAGTATTATTGAAGCTAATATTTTAGACACTATATTAGTCAAACTGATCCCTCTGTGATTGTCACAAGAGGACTTTTGTCCTTTCTTATAGACTGGCACAATCAGTGATTGGGACCAGTCAGATGGAATTACGTCCAGTTCCCAGATTCTACCTAAGACCTCAGTCAATCTCACTGCTAGTACTGGACCACCATCCTTAAAAATCTCAGGGGTCAACCTGTCAGGGCCTGCTGCTCTCCCTCGCTTCAGATTTCCTATAGCTTTTTCAACCTCACAGAGGGTTGGAGGATTTACATCAATTTGCCATTCAGGACGACTGGGGATCGTGGGTAATTGAAGTGTAGCTGAAGGCCAGTTGAACTGATCCCTAAAGTGTTCTGCCCATCGATCCAACCTCCTGGATTGAGAATGAATAATATGCCCATCTTTATCTGAGATGGTTTCACTGATATTCGGGTTCCTAATACCGATTTCTTTAACGAGTCTGAATAGCTGCCTACTGTTACCTATTGCCGCTGCCTTTTCCATCTCCCTTGCTTTCGCTACCCACCACTGTTCACGATCATTACGTAGGCTTCTTATAAGCCTGCGCTTAAGTTGACTCCGCTCTTCGTTATGCTCAGAGCCAGGTGGGATGAGTTTACGAGCATCTATCAGTGCGGTAGATGCTGCCGAGATCCATTGTTTCTCCCTAACGTTATGGTTTACCTTACTAGCAGATATCACTGCTGTTTCCACAGCTTTTTGGATGTCATTCCACGCTGCCTCGGGGTGGACACAACTTACATGGCTGCCTAACTGTTTTCCTAGTTGTTCCTGAAATATATTCTTAGCTTGCCTATCATTAAGTAGAACCCTTAGAGGCTTCCCTGCAGTGTCTTTCCTACGACCAGTAAGACGCAGACAGATACGTGCTCGCACTAGAGCATGATCTGAATCTAAGCATGTGCCCCAGAATGAGCGACAGTCTTCTATCGAGCCCCTCCATCGGTGGCTGATAGCGATGTGATCTAATTGGGTCCAACGTTGGGACGAATTCGGGGGTCGCCATGTCAAAAGATGTTTTTCCTTATGCTTAAAGTTAGTATTTGCAAGAAATAGGCGGTTATCTGAGCATAGCTGCAACAGACGGTCGCCATTATCTGTTCTTTTCGCCATGACACCATAAGATCCACCCAGGTGTCCTTCCCTTTCACTTAGTTTACCTACTTGAGCATTAAAGTCACCTGCTACTATTACTACATCAGAACGCCTAGCTTCTCGGAGAAGGTCAGAAAGTTTCCTGTAGAACTCATCTTTTATATCGTCTGAGCTGCAGTCAGTGGGAGAGTAGGCAGAGACGACGAAGAGGCAACGACGAGTTTCCCTACCTTTCCGGGTCCTTAGTGATCCGTTTAGTCGGACAGCGCATAGACGACTGTCTACTGGGATCCAGTCTAAAAGAGCTAGTTCTGCCCTAGGACTTAATGCTATACCTACTCCAGCGAGGCCACGGGAAGCAGCATCAGGGCTTCCAGATACACGAAGCGTGTATCGAGATGAAACTTTATTTTGATTATGTGCGGTCAAATGAATGACACTACTCGGATCTTGTATGCGCGTTTCGGAGACGCAGCACACATCGATGGTGTAAGATTCTAGAGTCCTAGCTAAGGAAGCCTGTTGTCCTATTTGGCACAATGTTCGGACATTAAAAGTTCCTATATGTAGTTTAGAGCGTGGTTTCAGGAGACCAGGAATAACGTTCTGTGTACTCGAATCGTTTGCCCTAGCGGTGCGAGGTGATAAAAGGACGTGGGAAGGGTTAGTCGTGGAGATAACAGAGTTATTAGGTGTAGGAAGGATTTGAAAGCGACCAACTTGGTCTTGTGTGCAGTTAAGGGTATGAGGGCTAGTATCACTTCCCGGCTGCCCACACCGTGGAAGGGTATTTCTTGAGGGACCTGAAAAAGAAGTTGGATTAGTGTTGGTCTTAACGACCTGGGAGCGTGACCGCAGAGCCCAAGGGACATCTGCTTGAGGCCGGTCACGCACGGCCTTTTTGTGGGGGATTTTTGATGTGTTAGCTCCGTTCTTCAAAAGTCCTTACCGCCGGAGACGGAAATCCGTGGGATAAGGCGAGGTGTGCATTTTTAGGGTCGACCTTTTCTAACCCCACCCCTCCTTGTGGGAAGGCAGCATCGCTGTCATGCTGGTTGTCTGAAGGAAACACCTTACTGCTTTCACACCTTTGTACAGTCAGCAGTACGACTTCGCCTTCGGACCTTGGGATTGCTGCTTTTAGTCTCACCGCTCTTCAACCGACCTGTCTGGCATGGTAGGACCTTGAGGAACGATTGTTCCAGCCAGCATAGCTCGATTGGATCATCACGATAGGCAAGCCCGACCACCACGTCAAGGTAGCAGCAACGGTCGGGCGGTAACTCATTGGTTGAATATTATCTCACTCTCCACGAACCCTAACAATAGTTAGTTTAATATTGCCTATATTCATAGAAATACATTTTTGAGAAGCCTAATTAAAATACCTGTTCAATGGTCTCTCATTACATCAAGTTTTTAGCTGGAACTAATCTGAAATCAAAAGTATTTGCAAATTAACTAATCTCCAATTTTTAAATTCGTCGATTTGTAATCCCAGTTTGAACATTTAAAAAGGTATGGAATTCAACAGGGCAATCCCTTTAAAACATATTTACTATTAAGCTATGCGGCGATATATATATATATATATATATATATATATATATATTTGCATTACCACTTCGGATTTTCATACTAGGATTAAACCGGGGTTCAATACTTCCTGATTTTTAATGGTTGTTTAACTGAAATCAGTATTGTTATATTCTAGTGAAGATGTAAGTACAAGTAACTTCTGAGATCTATTAATGGACTATTATTCTATATATATTCTTATTGTTTAACTATTGAGTAGCTAGATTGTGTATATCTATATTCATCTTATTATAAGCTTCATTTTGATCTATGAATTATTATTATACGAATTACTGTTCCGAAATTGTATCCAGATTATTGATTACTGTCTCCCATATTCACAGTTACATTTGGCTTGATCTTGTACTAATATTATTTTCTATTTTATGGTGTGATGCCGTCTGTCTGTCTGGTATATAAACCGAGTATGCTTGAAATAAATGATTCTCATAGATTCGCATAGCAGAAGCTGCAATCGGTGTTCTGGACTCGATTGGAAGAGCTAGGCGGACAAAGGACCAATAAGGACGCTAAACTGCTCATACTGTAGTGTGGTCTATTTACATCCATATAAGTACTACTTGGCGATGGTCAGACATAGAATGTATTTTAGCAGAAGACCGATAAGGAAAGAACTGAAATGAAGCGCATTTGGTAAGAAAATTCATGAACAATGGAAATAGAGCAGATGAACTGATATTTACAGAAGGAACAGTGAAGATTGCAAATTAACTGTTTGCTGTATGGTTATCAGAATCTAGTGAGATAGTCTGTAATTTGAGCTTAAATACATTCAGTTATCCCCCGCTCGTGTTTTGTTCACTACAATACCAGTGGAACGTCGTTGATTTGGTACAATGTTAAGATCGGAAAGTCCTATTCTGATTGGTGGATAATTCACGTGATAAAAATCCGGACATGAGACCACAACAAATTGGCATACAGCTTTGTTCTTCTTTTATAAAGTCACAACAAGTATATCATGTAAACTTTATTATACAACAATCTCCACAAGCGCTCTATACTAACAATAATCTATAATAGTTTGATAAACAAATTCAATGCACTTTAAGTCTAATTAAATCGTAAGGAAATAATGTGAAAACTTACAGGTTCATAACACAGTAAGTGCAAAAATTCTTGTACAATTTTTGATGAAACTTCTTTCAATGTTGTAGGGATTGTGTTTTCTGAGGTTACATTTTGTGAATCTGGAAATTTTCTAAAAGATTGAAATTTAATCGATATTTAGTAAGCAAAAAAATATTGGCTAATACACCTTTTTTGATTGTTAAAATATGAATAATTACTAAAGTTTCAAATTGTATCTTAGTTGACAAGGTGTAATGGTTTGTATACTATTCGTTTCAGTAAGCATAATGAGGGATACATTGTATAACTTTTAAATTAAATACATGAATTAGCTAAATGGCTTATGAAATGATAAGTAATAAATACATGTGAAGTAGTCGACTTTGGATTAATGTTAAACATGACAGGATAATTTCAAAAGCTCAGTTCCATTTGAAATAGACGCAGTTAATGTTGTCTAGAATAATAGACTGTACTCCACAGACAAACCAATACAATTTGAGATAACTGTCCTTGAATGTTTGGGAGGAAATTCAAAATGTAGCGCTGAGAAGCATGTATCTTATTAACAGCTAAATGAAAATTGTTTATATCTAGCTCTTAACATTCATGCAGTTTATTAACATATCTGTTGTGAAACCACAAAACGTGGCGTATAAGATAAGTGACAAGAAACCCCAGTTCCTGGTGCAGATTATATCTGAAGTGCCAACTACATTTTGAATGTACACGATATGATTCAGTGTGTATCATCTGAATGTTCAGTCATCGTACCATAGACATAATATTTGAACATGATTTATGTAGTTTTCAAGGGAACTAAAAAAGCTTTGGTGACTTGAATTCAAAGGACTATTCATGTTATTCTTCACTCTTATAACTATTTTCCCACTTTAACTTCAACTCATAACATTACCTAGATTCCTAATCACTAATTCTAACCTTTTTTGTGTTTACTATAGCAAATATTCCGGCATGTAAAGACTTATTAATCATGTAAAAACTACCTTCCTAGTTGTCATACACTTCGCTGATTAATTATCCTTCGTAATACATCATAATTTGCAACTCACTGACACTAACCATTCTCAATTACATTTCTAATCATCTGTTATATCATAGCTAATTCTGTTATTACGTTAACAGTTTGCTTTCTTGATCAAAATTTGGCCGATACCTTCTAAACGTAAATGTACAATTATTATACTTGAAACTATACTTTTAAAACTATAAAATGTTGTAATTTGGGCTCTTTTTGAACAAAAATTGGATATAACTAGAAAGGAAGGCCCAGGACAGAGTGGGTTAGAGAATGCTGGTTGGCAACCTATGCTCCATTAGGAGTAACAGGCGTAAGTAAGTAATTTGGGCTCTTTTACTGCGAATCAATTTAAAACTTTATGTAACTAATTGTAGTAACTATTTTATAATTCTTATGATATTAACTTTTCAGACGTAGTTAGAATTACTTATCAAGCATACTTCTCGTCTGGTTTTATTTGGTCCGCTGCAAATTAAAATGTTTCCATCAAAGTGACTGAGATATAAGTTAGAATCTAGGAACTGGACGCAAACCTATCTGGCTTGTCTCCATATCAGACTGTCCCAGTTTATAAGAATGAAAATCCTCTTTTGATAACAGGCGAGTCAATTTGGCTAGTACTCTGTCTAAAATATTAACATTACTAATCATACGATGCTTAAATAGGTATTTTGAAGAGCGAATCCGCGAAAACCAGACGGACTTTAGACCAAGATTTGGATGCATCGACTAAATATTCGCCTCATGTAAGATTGCAGAACGTTTAATCTTCCGAGTCCCAAATAGGACGGAACACGTGTCCAGGTTTTCACTTCTAGCCACTATCCATCTTTTCTTAAAATCACTATTGGTCTAAACTCAATGTTACATAAATTTTATGAACATCAATTATTAATAGTGTAAGTTTTGTGCTTAATTGAATACAAGTTCTAAATGGGATAGAAGAATAAATTTTGAATTTACTTCTTGTCAGATTGTAAGGCTAATTCCATTGCAATTATAGCTGGAGGTTTACTGGTGATCTGTTTCACTGGACCCACATTTTCCATGAAAGATCTAGAAAATAAACAATGAAACCATGAATAATAGTTACTGATCATGAGCATATCCCTTTTCTTAAAGGTCTTTTTATTTACAGCTATGATATCTTCACTTATGAACAATATAATAACACCAATAGAATCATCTCCTTCGTATAATCGGCTGTGAGGAACCGATAGGTGTTCTACGGTCAATTTTTATATTTTTTTAAATTTTTTCGTTTTTTCAAAAAATTTTCATCCCATTTTCCAATGTTTTCACTTTGTTTCGTCCAATTAAATGTCTAGTTCTAAGTTAGTTATAATTGGTTATTTATTTCTTAAAATTGATATAAAAATGTAAGTACTTATCGACAGAGCACCTTTTCTTCAAATTATGGACGATAGTAACTTACAAAGTACAAGTTCAGTCGTTTCTCACGTTGTCACAGAAACAGATAACATCTTCTTGAATACATTGTATCTGGTAGCATTCCAATCACTTGAAGCGTTAAAGGGAGCCATCAAAACTTATGAAAGAGCGACGTACTGTCATTATGCGGTGAAAGATTCTCATTTCAATGGGAATCGGAAGCCGTATATTAAATTTGTATGTTGGAGAAATGGCTGTAGAAAACCTAGAAGTTCCTCACAACCGATTAGACGAAGGAGGTAATTTGATTAGCGTTATTATATTGTTCATTAAGGACTTCAATGGACACTCAATGTCCGGCCTTCATCTTTTGTAAGTTTATTGAAGGTTACTGGACTGTTATTCGTGGGAACGTTCATCACAATCATGAATGCGATTTCCTGAGGTACGACAATAATTCTTGGACGCGCAGGTTAACGGACGCTGTACAAGTAGGACAGCCAAGTGTCAGAAAGTCGTTATATGCCTTAGTAAGGCGTATGTCTGAAGAACAGTGTAGTATGGTGTATAACAGTGTGTATCAAGTGGCTTACGGTAGGATGCCTCCAACGCCGTTGACATCTGCAGCTACTGAGTTACAGATCGAGGCCTCCATTTCTACGAATGTCACAATGCCGTTGATCCAACAGACGGAAGTTACCAACTATCAAAATAATGTAGGTTTGGATGCAACGTTAAGTAATGACGAGGAAGAAATTATTTCTATTAACTCAGAAGAGTTTACTGAACGACACAACGACGATGACGAACATGCTCACGCTAAAAGACTGTGATATTTGCAATCTTACAGAGCCGCCAAGTGAAATTGCTGATGGAAGTGATTGAAGTTTTTGTCCATACTGTGCAATGTTTCACTCATTTTGTGCTTACAACTCATCATCACAACTCCATGGGTTTCACTGTCTCATATGCGGCGCTATTATGGAATCATATTTACACCATTGTTCAGGAAAATTTGAACTTTTAAGAGACCGAGTAAAGGCCCTTTTCAGGGCCACCCACTGTTTGATTTCAATTCCTTATTTCTATAGCAAAGGTCAAGGTTATGAAACTAACAAATATTCATTTGAGATGAATAATAATAATGCGATTATCGCTCAAGTACTCATAAACCGTTGGTAAGCTTTATCAAATATAAGGTTTCGGTTATTGAACTCGCATAAAAGAAAACCTCATTTAATGAACACTAATCTGTCTAACAATAGTACATGCAATTGTTTCAATATAGTGAAAATTGTCATTTCGAATGTAGGTTTTTATTTATTATAATCAGATATAGGTAAATGTCATTTAATGCCATTGACCTTAATCGCATTTAAGTATTATAATCGACCTAAAATAATTTTTTTGCAGATGTAGGCCAATTAATATACACTTAATACAATTAAGATATCAAGTGGTTATCAAAAAAGGGTTATTTTTGTAACGTTTGTCTATTTCAGGTTTGACATTAAAGAAGCATTTACTCACATACAACGAAAATGTACATACAAATCATCTTAAGTGTTCGTCTAGTATGTTTAACAAAGGTAACCGATAATTTCAAAAATGATTCCAGACTATCTAAATAAGTAATGTATCCGATCTTATTTACAAATGACATCAAAAAATGTAGGATAATCATTTGATCAGACGGCATACTAACAAAACATTTACTATTGACATTACATGGGAAAAAATCTAACATCTACTTAACAAGCACAATAACCTTGAAGATACCACAGGTATTGTAGTTTGACAACATTTTACCAGTAACACCTTCTATAATCCAATCGTGCCCACCCAGTTAAATCAAAAATCAGAAGCGAGGAGGTTGGAAGATATATTCGATGAGTTATCAATATATCGAGGAGTCTCATTCGATTTGTATGAGGGTTGTGATACTGCCGAGGTTCCTAAACTGAAACAGGTGGTTTCCATAGGGGGCCACACCCAGAGCCTTTGACCAAAAGGTGTGATCCACAAGACAATGAAGCATCGTAAGGAGATGCAGTCCCATGGTAGACGGTGACCAACGATTGATTCATACGCCATTCGTTCCACCAGGATACCGGAGCCCATGTGCACCATTGGTTTGGAATCAGGGTTTTTCAACTTCCCTAGGTGGATTCTCTATATCCACTAGACCGGTTAAAGCGCCGGACATTCTCTTTTCGTCTTCTCAATTTTGTAGACAACACCCTCTCCTCGAGAAGGCAGTGAGTAGGACTTCCCTGGTAGAGGCTGTATACGCGTGGCCATATGAGAGCACTTCGAAGGGGAGAGCGGACTCTCCCCACTCTCGCCCTATTCATTATTTTATCATGATAGTTTATTGATATGTTTACACGTATACAACGTTTATTAAAATAGCAAACTATGTGTTAAAATAACTAATGGGAATATCTAGATGAAAATTTGTTTACTAATTGTGTATTAAACATTTGACTAACTTTGGAACTTCAATCATCACTATTATCAACTATAAAACAGCTATCAGTTTTTACTAAATTATCTTTCAATGATCTACATATTATTGCTCTTACCACGGTAACTAACAACTTCAGTTCCATTACTACTTGATTGAAAAAAAATTTATCCCGATATACATTCACTGACAGGAGTATAACAGGGTAATGAAATGGAGTCGGTGTCTTTTTCTCCGAAGTTAAAATGCAAATTCTCATATCGAATCAAAGCACTTGATGCTATTTCGATTTGAACTAGTCAAACTACAAAGATGCACAATTTACAGCCAATTAGAAAATCAATACAAGTGTCAAAATGTTTGTTCATTACCACTTGAGCACACACTTTCAAAAAACAAGTTCACCAATCACCAATTTGTAAAATTTTTTTAATCACACCCTGAAATTTCTCATCAATAGGTGGTGGGGAATCACAACCGCGGTACAATTAGTGTTAACCGTTTATTAGTTATTATTTTGGTCAATCTGTGATGTAAATTAATCTTTATATAATACCACTCGACTTGCATGCGCCTCCAGTATTTACAACTTTCCACCCCAGAAAATTAACGTTGAAGCATATTATTAGTAGTTATATAATAATCAGAAGGGGTTTTTGTGGAGATTTAGTATTTGCATAGTTGAAAGCCTAAGTCAACGGCCGTCCAGTGTTGCCAGGTTTTCCATAGTGGTCTAGCTTCAATTGACTCATGCTTTCGACTTTGAAAATACTCAAATATCCACAAAATCCCCTTCTGATTATAATCATATGCTCACTAGTGACTGACTTCAAGATCTATGTCCTGGAGTTCTAGTGAGAAGCAGTGACCATTGGAGTTCAAACCACGTCTGTTGTGAGATAGGAACACACTAAAGACAATTGGTGAATGGTTGCTCAAACTTCGTGCATTGGTTGAACTTAGACATTAATACCATCGGATGCCAGCTCAGTGATCTATCGATTAAGTACTCTGGCGCGAGACTGGTAGGTCCTGGGTCCGAATCACGCGAGGCGGGATCGTGGATGCGCAATGCAGAGGAGTCTCACAGTAGGACGAAACAGCCGTCCAGTGCTCCCAGGTTTTCCTTGGTGGTCTAGCTTCAATTAACTCATGATTCCAACTATGCAAGTTATATAATAAATCAAATGCAAATCACTTATTGTCTCTAATACCAGAACTATATCTTTATAATAATCATACGAAATGATCATGTTTAGTTATTTACTGACCTTAATCAATGAATGCATTGAAGAGTAATCGATTCAGTTCTGTTTAGATATCCAATGAAAATGTTATATATAAAAAACGTTTTAAAAACTGCAATTTTTTCAATGAAGAAAAAGAAATATTTACATGTCTGGTGGATTCCATGTTAAACCAAGTTGTTGTTCAGTAATAATTCGATGTGCATCCAAAAGACGATTGGCTAGTTCTTTTAAATTCTCTTCATTCATTATCCAAATATCATGAAAATTTCTTTGTATGCCTTCTATCAATAACCTTGATGAATGTAGTTTTGAAATAATAAATATGGAAAGTGAATAACTCATTAGAATTGTTGCTTTTTTAACTGAACAAAGTGTTATTTGTATTTTAATGAATGTAAATAAGAATATAAAGTGATCATATTGTGGTGTGGTCTACTTATATCCTCATAAGTAGTATATGGTGATGGTCAGACATAGAATGTACTTCGGCAGAAGACTGATAAGGAAAGAACTGAAATGAAGCGTAATTGGTAGGAAAATGCATAAACAATGAAATTAGAGAAGATGGATTGATATTTACAGAAGGAACACTGAAGATTGAGACAACTGATTGTCATTTTGCAAGTTAACTGTTTGCTTTATGGTTATCAGAATTTAGTGAGATAGTCTGTAATTTGTGATTAAATACATATGATTGTCCCCAACTAGTGCTTTGATCACTACAATATTATCTAGCCTTTATTAGAAATAATTTTGACAACAGAACTATCCATCTTCATAGTTTAAATCACGAACTGATCTTAGCTAGATCAATATTGAGATCCTTGAAGCACTGTATGGCAGTTTTGTCTTAATATGGGACATATCAGTGGTGCACGTTCACTATCTTACATCCGTAAATCGATCTAGGACATATTATCCAATATACACACCATCGGGTTTCGGCTCATTGGTTAGAGATTAGGCGTTTGTGTTTAAGACATGGGTTTGACTTTCTGAGGCGGGATTGTGTATGCTCACTGTTGAGAAGTCATATACTAGAACAAAACAACCATACAGTGTTTTCAGGTTTTCAGTGGTGGTCTAACTAAGATAAGTTCATGACATAAACTATGAAAGTTTTACAATCTCCTTAAATCCTCTCTATACTAATTAAAGTTATATATGATAATATATTTATTATATACTATAAGGATGGTAATCAGTTCTACATAAATAAAGCGTGCGTATCAAGAATCTTTTTTGAGTTTTCTCAACTCTTATCATTTGTGGCGAGACACATGCCTTCGTATCAAAGAGAGAGCTTACTGTTAACACATTGTTTTGTCTTAATACATGATTTTTGGAAATGAAGGATATGTACAAGTTACTAGTATTTGATCATAAATGTTTTCAGAGAATAAGTTAATCATAGTGAAACTGTAGTGAACGAGAACACGCAAGCGGGAACAACCAAATACATTTGAACAAGAAATTACAGTAAATTCTTCATTTGCAAAATGTCAATCAATTGTCTCAGACCTCATTATTCCTTCATTTTCACACTAATCATTCTCCGTTCTCGTTCTCTTCTCTTCGATCTTCTTAACTTTCTGCAGCCAAACATTTCACTTTCGATTGACGATACTTACTACTTATATCTGTCAACATCAGTAGCGTACACCACAGAACCACTGAGTGACTAATGCTGAGGTAAGGAGCAGACTACAAAGTAGAAATGGTAAACGGTTGATTAAGTTGTGAAACTCTATTCACTGGTGTGCTTAGAATATGAATTAAACGTATTCGAAAACCCCTTATCCTGATGACCAGTATTGGCTAGGATTAAGCTATATTGAAATGAAGCTAACAACAGACAAATGGAGGTTAATAATAAGTATATTTTTTGTAATATCTCAAAAATATATTCAGTGTTAACTTTCTACTCAGTTTATTTGAGATATCAAATCCAACCTTGGGATCAATACCTACCAACAAACGGAAAGTTCAAATCAAGTCATAAGATCATTGACAATCCGTTTGAGCTACGCCGGTAAATAAAAACATCCTACCTTGGATCCCCTCAGTATGTATGATCAATGATTGTAAACTTTGAATGATATGCTATAACTCGTTGGGGGTAACAGGTTTCGATAAAGTTACGACACGCCTGGTTCAAGATTGGTATAAGTTAATTAATTAAGGGGATGTTAAGAGAAATTCAGAAATTCAACCTGTGATACAATAGAATAAAGTGAGATATTACTGTATCATCACTAAACATGCATTATGATTATCCGATAGACTCCAACCACGAATTTCACATCATGCCATAAGGTTCAATCACCGATCGGTAACTTAATGGACTATTATCATTTCTTGATCTAATCACCTTTATCCTTTTTCAAATTTACTTCTACACTAGCCATCAGTGTACATCGAAGTAGGTGATAAAGAGGAGTATGTAACACATCTGTCAACAATCTTAGTCAATGAAGGCTAAGGTCCTCATCAACTTATCCAATGTCTCTACTTATTACTCAACATTTATCTACTCAAAGGTTCTATCACACACGATCAATACTTTGTAAGAATCTATGACGAATGATTGGCAATCTACGTATATCATTTACATACACAGGATATGTTTCACAGACATTGTATAGAGTCATAAATGTTATCTTACTAGATAATTTGAAACCAATAACAAAACATTTAGTATTGTTGGTTCGAATCTTCCCACCGATGTGTTAGGACTGTAACTGTTCAGTCTCTAATTGGCATATGTGCATAATGTGCGTATTTCCTCGATATTGCCTTAATTCACAAGCATTGTGGGAAGATTCAAACAAACAATACTTAATGAATTTAAACTCCACCCCATCACACAAGCAAGTAGGTATCAGGACTCAGTGGCCGAGTGGATAACGCGATGGCGTTTGAAGCGAAAGGTACTGGGTTCGAGTCCCAGAGTGAACATCAACTCTGAGACGCAGGTACATCCTGCTGACGAGTCCCAAATAGGACGAAACGCGCGTCCTGGATTCCGCTGCTAGAAACCGTCCATCTTTGCTTTCAATAACAAAACAGATTTTACAGCTTACACCTAATTCTCATTTGTAGTCTTAATATCTTTAATCAGTTTATGGTAAACACAATTTGTTTTTTAGTTTTCTAATTTAAGGGTTAAATAAAAATAAAGCAGTTACACTATAAACAGAATCATACTTTGATTTCTTTTGTAAATCACTATAATTTTCCATTCGCCTTTTATAATCTTCGGATAATTGTTCATTTTCTACTCTAAAAGAAAAAAGGATAATAACATTAACAATAAGGAGAGTTAGAATTATTTCCCATCTTATATTATTAGTTATTTTGAGTGATAATGTAATAAGCTCCATGTTACGTAGAAAAAGCCTCCACTCTACAGAGAGTAATTTGGCTTGTAGAATGAGATATTTCATGTACCCTATCCGTATGATTCGGTTAAAAAATAGATTCATAATGTAATATGAAAACTACATACTTAGTGACTTAAATACTTACACCTGTTACCCCACGTCGTGGAGGAGCATAGGCTGCACACTAGCATTCTCCATCCAACTCTGTCCTGGGCAATCCTTTCAATTTGTTTCCATATGTTATTCATTCTTCTGATTTCTGCTAACGATTTTCGACTCGGTGTGTTTTTCGACCTTCCTCTTTCCCGCTACCCTTCACGATTCCAGGCAATCCCTTGCCCCATGATGTGGTTTGATGATTTTCACAATGTATGTCCTATCCACCTCCGACGTCTTTTCCTAATTTCCTATTCAGTTTGGAACTGGTCTGTTCTCTCCTACAGTAAGCTGTTGCTGATGGTATAAGGCCAATGGATGTTCAGTATCTTTTGTAAATAATTGTTGATAAATACTTGTACCTTCTTGACGATGATTGTAACAGTTCTCCACGTTTCAGCTGCGTACAGTAGGACTAACTGCCTTGACGTTAGTATTGAAGATTTTTACCTTGAAATTAGTTGACAATTGTTTTGAGTTCCATACATTCTTCAATTGTAGGAATGCGGTCCTTGTTTTGCCAATCCTTGCCTTTACGTCTGAAACAGATCCTCCTTGGTCATCGATGATGCTTCCCAGATACGTGGATGTTTCCACATCTTCCAGAGTTTCTCTATCAAGTGTGATTGGGTTGGTATTCTTCGTGTTGTATTTGGGGATCTTGCTTTATCCTTACTTGGAATACATCTATCAGCTGTCCTCCATGCACGGCTTTGAACTGTAGTCTGGAAACTAAAGTTACAACAACTGCATTTATATGTATATACTACTTACATGTAAGTTGTCGGTCATTAAAACTGCACAACACGCTAACAAGACGATACGAAGCAGATTAAATTTCATGAAGGGAAATCACTGAACAATCGAACGGTGATCGAATAGTAATTAATATTAATCAGGTTTTATTTGAGACAAAAGAGTAGGATTCATTTCAGATTAAAAGCAAGTTTTAAGTCTAAAACATAGAGATAATGAATGAGTGAATAACGTAATAGGTGAGTGACTTTCACACAGTGAGAGGAAGCCCTAAATTCAGCTTTCATTTGGATGAATAGGGAACTTTTCACCAAACATTTGCAAATCCTCCATCAATTCTCTCAAACTTTATAGTTCCTTCACTGCCATAACAAGTACTCTCTGTTTCCGTTCTCTTTGATTTGATCTTTCCAACCCTCTGCTACAAGACATCCCATTTCTGAATGGTGCTATATACTACTTCTGTCGACAGATATAAGTGGCATAAGCCACATCATTAAATATGTGAGTTTTATTCCAAAAGCAGCAAACCCAAGGTCCGAAGGTGAAGTCGTACTGCTGACTGTACAAAGGTGTGAAAGCAGTAAGGTGTTTCCTTCAGACAACCAGCATAACAGCGATGCTACCTTCCCACAAGGAGGGGTGGGGTTAGAAAAGGTCGACCCTAAAAATGCACACCTCGCCTTATCCCATGGATATCCGTCTCCGGCGGTAAGGTCTCAACAAGTACGGAGCTAACACAAAAATTAACCACAAAAAGGTCATGTGTGACCGACCTTAAGCAATTGTCCCTTAGGCACTGCGGTCACGCTCTCAGGTCATTAAGACCACTTCTAACCCAATTTCCTTTTTAGGTGCCTCTAGAAGAACCTTTACACGGTGCGGGCAACCGGTAAATGATAACCGCCCTCATACCTCTAACAGCACTCAAGACCACTGTAAATTGTCAATAGTCTCAACAGAAAAAAGGAACACATACTACTCACTTGTATTGTTGTTCTTGTTTAGTTGATTTAATGCTTAAATTATTCAATGTATCTTGCAGACGTGTAATTCTTCTTTTTTGATTTGATTTAAGCATTGTATTCTCTTCATCACGTCGTTTTAAAACTTGATAATTATAATCTAATTTTTCTGTATTCAATTGATATGTAGATTTTAATTTTTGCAAATGACTTTCAAGTGTCTAAATTCCACAAAAATAACAAAAGAAAGAGTGCATACTCAAGCTGAGTAGTATATTGAACTCATAAACTAAGTAACTGATTGACTACATTTAAGTAATATAGTAATCAAGTTTGCAGATAATTTTCTTTATCTAGGTCATTTCGTTTTCGACTGTCTCTAATTCGTTTCAATTTTACCTCAAAATGATTTATCTGGATTGTAAGAACATAATGAAACTAAAAGAATCTATGTACGGTTAGTAGGGAACATAGTTGAAAGTGATGTTCGTATTGTGTGTCGTAAACTCTCGGAAATTTATTGTTAAATGTTCAAGTACATTGGTGTTATACAGTAATTACTCATCAGAATTATACACATTTGGTAGCATACAAAGTTCGCGATACCCCCTCAAGCTCTTCAGAGCTTCCACATAAAAAGAAACATTCTGTCTTCCCTTCACAGAGAGATTGATGTTGGACAGCACCATGAATGTATATATTTTCTCATTCGTAATCCATAATTCGGTTTTTATTCTTTGCTCAGTTACATCAGATAAATTTCATATTCTTAGAAGAATGATTTTGTTGCCCGTGTTTAACCAGTCACGTCAAAAAAAAGAGATAAGAGTCATACTTACAAGGTAATAGCAGCTTTCATCAATTAACAATTAAATAAAAACAGATTACCGAGTTTAAATTAACTCTATACTTGAGAAAATAAATGAGAACACAGAAATTTTATAGCCGCTTCAATCAATAATGGCAGTATAAAATAATATCGTCATGTTTAGAGATGTTTTTAGGTGTCTTTCAGAATCGACCAATAAGCCTGTGATTTTATGGCTCCGAGTTCAATTCACACGGAATCTTTTAGAAATGGTGATTTTAAAACCCATTCTGTTTTCGTTCATTCTCTTTAGATGTTTTAAGAAGCATTAAATTATCTGAAGATGACAAATGCACTGAAAAATAGCATTTTACTAGTCACTAATACACTATAACATTATGCTGTAATAAAAATTGCAATATCAGAGTACATGAATATAAATAGTCAATATTGAATAAACGGGTGTCCAATGATTTATGGTTCGAAAAGTTGTTTAAGTAAAAACAGTCTATAACGCAAATGATGAAACTCGACAATCTAACTACACCCTCTATATTACTTCTGCTGTCTACTTAAGAGAATCATTGGTTTAATTAAGTTAAGGTTCTATTAATTGTCAAGTAGAAAGCATTCAAATAAGCCTTCTATATTATCTTTTGCGTTCATAACATAATCGTTTTGAATGCTGATTATGTTTCTCACCTACTAATCCTGCTTCTCTCTCTCTTTCTCTCTCTCTCTCTTTATATATATATATATATATATATATATATATATATATATATATATATACGCCTGTTACAGCCAATGGAGCATAGGCCGCCCACCAGCATTCTCCAACACACTCTGTCCTGCGTATTCCTTTCTAGTTCTATCCAATCCTTGTTCATTCTTTTCATCTCTGTCTCCATTTCTCGGCGTAATGTGTTCTTTGGTCTTCCTCCTCTTCTTTAGCTTTCAGGATTCCATGTGAGGGCTTGCCTTGTGATGCAGTTGGGTGATTTCCTCAATGTATGTCCCATCCACTTCCGGTGCTTTTTCCTAATTTCTTCCTCCACTGGAATCTGGTTTGTTCTCTCCCACAGTAGATTGTAGCCGATAGTGTCTGGCAAACGGATCCGAAGTATCTGGCGTAGACAATTGCTAATTAACACCTGTGTCTTCTGGATGATGGCTTTCGTAGTTCTCCACATCTCCGCCCCATACAGTAGAACTGTCTTGACATTTGTATTGAAAATTCTGATCTTGGTGTTGATTGTCAATTGTTTTGAGTTCCAGATGTTTTTCAGTTGTAAGTATGCTGCTCTTTATTTGCCGATCCGCGCCCTCACATCTGCACCAGATTCACCGTGTTCATCAATGATGCCGCCCAGATATGTAAAGGTTTTCACGTCCTCTAAAGCTTCTCCGTCAAGTGTGATTCGATTGGTGCATGCTGTATTATATCGGAGAATCTTGCATTTCCCTATATATATATATATATATATATATATATATATATATCACAGAAGTATACAAATTTAGTGTGATACATTTGCGATATGTAAAAGATTATCATAGTTTTCTCATTATCATGATTAATTTTACTGACTTACCTCGACTTCAGAGCCCAATGATATTTTCAGTGCATTGTACTCTTCCGAATATTTAGTGCGTAGATCATAAAGTTCTTTCTCATATTCAATAGCCTGATCTTCACGTTGCTTTAAATAATTAATCTATGAGATTCATATAAAAAAAGTAAAAAGAAACATTACAAATTAATCGATGGGAATAGAACAAATACACTGGTCTAATTAATATTATAAATTAAAACAAACTGATTACCTCGATACGCGATGTTGTCTGGTGTAGGAGTAGACTGGATGAAATGTAATGAGCTACGAAATAAAGATGGTATATCAGTTCGTGAAGTCGTTAATCATTGAATTAAGATATATTTGTAGGTGCAGACCACCTGGTTGTGATCCGTGTGATCATCATAACCAATGGTTGGTGATGTTCAGTAATATGGACCAAAATCGATTAGAATTACGTAGATGTATTTACTCTTTCACAAAACGACTATGCATTTTATTTTGAAAACTCACTCTTTCTTCTTAGATCATACCGTATAACCATAGTTTTTTCTAGTATAACTGATACTTCCATTACTTATACTGCTCTGTGATGTGGTGTGAAAGTTTGAAGTGATATACGCTCGCGGTAAATTCTGTGTTGCTTATGATTGAGTAGCTGATATCAGCTGATAAATCATTGTAAGTTAGGAGGTAACTAATGGGTGTTTCATGTTAATTTAGAACTCTTCAGGTAATATTTGCACACGACCGACCATATTGGGTTGAAATCTAAGACTTTTATAACTAAAGGCAAGTCACTCTGTAAATAGAACTATCTTATTGTTGAAATATTCATAACGAACAAAGTGTACAATCGGTTATTGGTAAAATAAATACATTATAATTTCTATTTTTTGCTAATATTAACAAAAATGTATCCACATCTTTTGGTGTGTCTCATTTCTTAGAGATGTGAACCATTTCTTGGACAATCATGACCATCTATCACCAAGACAGTTTTTATTGGCCTTAGGCATATTATGCAGCTCAGAGATCTCATACTTATTGTAATCTTTCAGATAGTTTTTATATAGAACATAAAATATTTGACTTCTTAAACTGTATGCCTAAATCCCTCCATTTGTAATAATAATGTTATGCAATAATCGTTAATATTGTGTTTAATGATAAGTGTGCTACCATGAGCTTGATAAATTACGTTCGATCATCTGAGTTCTCCGTATATCAGCTACGTGAAATGGCGCTGACGGAGTGACAAATAGTCTATAAGTAATAATAACAGCATATATTAGTACACGATAAAACTTAATGCATTTTGTAAAAGTTATACCATAATTAAAAATAACTGACAGATTTCATGTGGATGGGGGTGGAGGGGAATTAGAACTATAAATGCCTATCATTTTTTTCCTTTTCAAAAAGTATCATGATCGGTTCATGAACTCAGTTAAAAATCAACAATCTCCACAACCCTATACTGATAATTGTCATGTGCTCAATAGTGACTAGCCTTGAGAGGTAATTCTCAAAGTTCGAGTCAGAAGCCGTGACCAGTGGAGTTCAACCGTGTCAGGTGTGAGGCAGTTACCCACTGAAGACAATGGAGGATGGTCGCGCGATATTGTGGATTGTTTAAAGTTGGACATTAACTCGTCAGATACTGATTCACTGGTCTAGAGGTCAAGCGTCCAAGAGCGAGACTGAAGGTCCTGGGTTCGAGTTCCTTTGATGAGGGATCGTAGATGCACATTATTGAGGAGTCCCGTGTTAGGACGAAAAGGCCGTATAGTGCTTCAAGGTTTCCAATGGTAGCCTAATACTGATCGGTTCATGAACTTAATAAAAAGTATCATGTGATTGATTCATTCTCACCGTTTTGGTATTTCTGATAATAGGCATTTCATTGGTCGAACAGGTTAAAATGATGCTTTTAATTTGTGTAAGAAAGGTATAGGTCAATCGGGTGGGGCAGGAGTCTTGAAAATTAATTTCATACCCTTGAAAAGTTATTCCCGTTTAAAACATCTCACAAAAAATTGGTCTTTTTTGTACTAAATAGTAATACTTTTTTAAAACAGCATCAATCAACAATTTTTTCAAACAAAAAAACTCATATATAGTAGTTTACTTGTTTCTGTTTGATTTCATTCATCAGCGTTCCCCATTCAGCACTTTGTCCACTAGTTAATTTTTCTCTTTGATCTAAAAATGCATTCTATTAGATTGAAAAGAAAAAATTAAATAGACAGAAAGTTAATTACAAATTTAAGTTTATTCATTTACTTAAACACATAGATATTGGTACAAGGAAGCACCAAATATATATGCACCACACAAATCTCATTCGATTTGTGTGAGGGCTGTGATACTGTCCGGGTGCCCAAACTGAAACAGGTGGTTTCCTTAGGGGGCCACACTCGGAGCCTTCGACCTAAAGATCCGATCCACAAGGCAGTGAAGCATCGTAAGAAGATGCAGTCCCATGGTAGACGGTGACCAACGATTGATTCATACGCCATTTGTTCCCTCAGGATACTGAAGCCAGCCCATGTTCACCATTGGTTTAGAATCAGGGTTTTCCAACTCTCCTAGGTGAACTTTCCGTGTCCAACGACCTGGTTAAAGCGCCGGACGTTCGCTTTTCGTTCTCTCAATTTCGTAAACAACAGTAATGCCACGAGAAGGCAGTGAGTAGGACTTCCCTAGTAGAGGCTGTATACGCGTGGCCATATGAGAGCACTTCGAAGGGGAGAGCGGACTCTCCCAACTCTCGGCCGTACCAGGGCATTTGGGGGCATACACTATAAAATGTTTCTGTTACGTCATCAGGTTTATTCATTGTTCATATGTCCTCATGAAACTGATTCCTACAATTTATAGATAATGTGCAATCGTACAACTTGATAATAGATTCATTAAAAAAGAGATCACTTGACTGAACTTTGCATAACAATACTGGTAATAATAATAATAATAATAATAATAATCGTTATTGTTACAATACTACATACTTCAATGGCAATTATTTCTTCCCGATAAGTTCTTTGAATAGCTTTGATTTGTGATTCCATTCGTTCAGCTAATAAATCAATATCATTTGTGCGTTTTTTCAATTCTCTTACATAATGATCATCTTTAGCTTTAATTTCCTGTATTGTTTTACATTTTCATTTCATTAAGTCGAACATAAAAAAACAAATTTTTTTAATTTGATGATAGTAAACATGAAAGATGTTTTAACAGTTGAATTCATGAATTGATCGAAGCTAGACCACCATTGAAAACCAAGAAGCATTGTTTAACTGCTGTTTCGTCCTAGCACGGGACTCCTCAATAGTTTGCATCCACGATACCTCACCAAAGAGACTCAAATCCAGAACCTTCAGTCTCGCTCGACCTCTAGACCACTGAAACAGCATCCGACAAGTTAATGTCTAGGTTTTCAATGGTGGTCTAGTTTAGATCGACTCATGAATCCAACTATTAAAATTACTACGATCTCAACAAACCTCCATTCTGATATTATTGATGTATTTAGAATTTCCTTCAACTATTGAACAATTTAATCGGAAAAATCGACAATCCTATCCAAGAAACATGTACTATAGTATTTGACATAAGTCGGAAACATTTCGTTTTGAACTAACGCTTCATATTATTCTATAAACTAATTAATCATATTGACAAAGTTGTGTTTGAAGATAAATAATTCAAAAACGGACACTACATTATATTATAATCTATAGTTGATGACTTTAGACGACATTATTTGAAAACGATATTGCATTTGTACTCATTTCTTTTTCCCTTCCAAGTTGTATTTACTTACTTAATTACGCTTGTTACCCCACGTCTTGGAGGATCATAGGCCGCACACTAGCATTCTTCATCCAACTCTATCCTGAGTAACCCTTTTCATTTGTTACTATGTGCTACACATTCTTTTAATATCTGCTTCCGATTCCCGACGCAGTATGCTCTTTGGTCTTCCACTTTTCCGTTTCCTTCCAGGATTCCATAATAGGGCTTGCCTCATGATGCAGTTTGATGATTTCCGTAGTGTATATCCTGTCCACTCCTATCGTCTTTTCCTAATTTCCTCTTCAACTGGAAGTTGGTTTGTTCCCTCCCACAGTAGGCTGTTGCCGATGGTATCCGGCCAGCAGACATAGAATATCTTGCGTAGACCTTAGTTGTATTTAGTTTAGCATTATTACATAATTTTAATACGTTTTTGAACTTCGTTTTATCTAAGTGGCAATATCAAATAAATTAGTTTAAAATCTACACATACCAGTGTAAACTGATTGATTGTAGTCTTTAATGCCGATAATAAGAAAATATAAACCGTTATAAATATATTCTGTATATGTTTAATTTATTTTTACAGAATATACTAATTCCAGGACACGTGTTTCATTAGGTATCAGACTTATACAGGAATCTCAGTGTTAATTTCCGCATCAGGACTTGAATTCATTACGTTTAGCTTCAAAGGCTAACACACTTCATTAAGTTACTAGACTCATACAGCCACCGACTTGAGGAGCGAGAATGATATTTGTATAATTATTAGTAAAGGTTTGAATTATAAATTTGTTGATCATCTTGACTGGATTGTGGCCAGTCTTTGATGACCACAAATCCATCTATTCGATAAAAAGGTGTGAAAAATTGCCACATAGGGGTAGTCCGTACACGACATACATATCCCGACAAATACTGATCACAACTCACTCAAGATGATCAACAAATGGATAATTGAAACCATTTATAACAATATAGGCTTTAATATCTTAACTCATTCGGTCTTCATCATAGTGATGTTTTCTTATTGCATAAATGCGAAATATCGCAGGCATAATTAACTTATTGGTCTCGTACGCGATTTGTTACCAATCTTTAAAATAAAATTACGACTTACTAAATTCAGTTCATTAATCAGCTTATTTTTCTCAGCTATAAGGTCTTTGCACAACGTGTTTTGTTTGTCTAACATCTAAAAACATTTATAGAAAGTACAGAAGTTATACAATAAGTTGTAGTCTGATGTAACATTCCCATCCTAGTTATTGCGATTTGTTTAGAGTGAAACTATTTATCTTACCTCTTTTGTTTCATCTAATAATTCACTTTCCTGCGCCTTTTCCCATTGTTCTGTTATCTACACAAATAAAATGAAAAAAATCTGAGAATTATTTGGTATGTGGTGGGAATCAAAGAACTGATACAAGTACCCTGCAAAAAGTCCTAACAATTTAGTGGTCTGTAAAAAAACCCAAGTCGTTTATCAGTTATTTACTTACGACTGTTACCTCTCGTGGAGCATTGGCAGTCGACCAGGATTCTTCAACTTACTCAGCCCTGGGTTGTCTTTTCCAATTTTTGGCGAGTGCTACTCATTCTTTCGATGTTTGCCTCCAATTTTAGGCTTCATGTGTTCTTTAATCTGCCCCTTTTACTTACTTGGAATGAATCTATGAACTACTCTTCATGTACAACGTTGCAGTGTAGTCCGTCTTAAACATTCCGTATAATGGTGACTATTTTCTCAGTTGCGCCATGTTGTCGAGGAAGGTTTCTTAAGGTTCTCCTATTCACGCTACCAAATGCTTTCTCATAATCAAGGAACTTGATATACTGTTATGAGTTCTACTCAACTGATTGTTCAAGAACGATATGTAGCGTCGTGCACGATCGATCATTGCCAATATCAGTCTGTATACTGAATCTTTCGTTGAGTTCAACAGTACAGATGAATAAACTTGAAAAATGACGAAGTAACGCTTTTGTGATATTTTGGTTTCACATAAATCTTTTAACTAGTATTTCTCAAACAAGTGGTTTTCTTTAGCATATTTCACTCATTTATTGGATAATTATGAAAAGTTTTGAGAGTACTTGCAGAGATAAATAAATCCACGAAATAAATAGTTTTGTAAGTCTTCGACATTTGATGCTGATCACAATAGTTTTGCTGAACACATCTAGCTGAATGCGCTTGGCCACGCATCTGCACCAGATCACGAGTGGTTACGCCGTACTATGCATTCTTTGCAACTACTAGTCAGCTTACACTAAACTCTTCTCAAGATGTCAGCAACCTTCCAAATATATCGTTGAATACACTCATTCCTAACTTCTGATCTAACTGGGCTGGTATTCTTTGGTTATATAGGTATTTCAGACAAAAGCGTTGTCAAACTCTGAATATCTGTGGCATATTTAGTGGTGAGTCATACGTGGTCTGATGCACCAAACGATAAACTGTGAGTTTGTCTCCAGTTTCAATATAGCATATCATTTTCTACGCATAATGGTATCTTTGTATTCTCCACTTTTTTTCGCCCATTTATATATTTGATTCTCACAATGAAAAAACGGCCACTCAAACTGTTGTAGATTAAGTTTCTTACGCCTGAAACTTTTCGAATCAGGCCGATCTTATAATATCGAGGTCTAATTCTGTTGCGCAGAAGTTAACTTCCACAGACATGGTGTGATAAGCCCACATGCACGATTCCCCGTAGTAGTAAAGACACTGCCGCGAGACTTTAATGGATATTTTGCACTTAATATGTTTGCTAGTGGTTTCCGAACCTTATGCCATCTTAAAAAGGTTATCACTGAACAGGAAGAACCAACCAATCGACAACAGTATGACCAAATCTTACACGAGATCGAACTGTCATACGGCTCAGCAACAGACATATTGGTACGTATGCAGGAGTCATTGATCAATGGGCTCTCGACGAAGGCTCTTTCGGAGAGCTCTGCTTCCCCGACGAGTGAGGGCGGCGTTCGTCTCGTTTCAAAACAGCGCCGTAGATGAACTGGCTACATCTGTCTGTAGAATTCAGGAGACCACCAGGACCTGCATTACTGAGTTTTGTTCTGTCAAAGAAAAGCCTCAAACGAAATGAAATGACATTAAAAAGCTCTGTGGTACTGTCACTCGTTATTTTTATATTCATCATAATCTCGAACGTTCCAAAACTCCTTTAAGAAACCCGTTGTGTAAAAGACCAACCTGTGAAGTACGAGAAACAGATAAACGTGACTGCTGTTGGTACCATAACAAGTATGGTAATCCGTCCAAAAACTGAACCCTGCTATTCCCCCACCCTGAACCTTCTGTAAAGACAAACCTTGCAGACAAATTTCTCACCGGCATGTGTTAATGACAGTCGCAGCCATTGGAAATATCCGTCTGCGATGACGAAGGTTCACTATGTCGTAGAGACCGGCGTGGAAGTGAGCATTTTCCCCACGAGTACTAATGACTGTCTATAAGATCTGGTCTTCAACTTACAGGCGGTGAATAAGAATGGTCTGCCACATACGTCAAAATATATGTCTATCATAACATGGGTTTGCGAAAACCTATTCACCGAACTTTCGCTATGGCAGGTGTTTTTATGTCAACCATTAATAAAGACCTGCAATAACAATATAATCTACTCATCGACCTGGGCAAATAGAGGTTAGCAGGCAGAAATACTGAATTACTTGCTTGTGGAATTTCATTTTCTGGTTGCAGGTTATTCCCAGTCACGGCTAAACATATATTAGATCTATACTTCCATCAAACACTCGATTAGTACCCTGAACTATCGTGTGTAGCCAGCAATGTTACCCACTACATCACGACCACAGGACCGCCTATATTTTCGAAAGTCCGCTGACTAGCTCCTAAACAGTTAAGATTGAATAAAACCGAATTCTAGCATATGATAGACATAGGAATTATCCGACCATCAAACAGCTCATGGTCATCTCCTTTGAAGATGATCCGTAGAAAAATAGGCAGTAATTAAAGGATATTGATAATTTTGCTGTATCCGATGCAATGCCTCAGTAGACCTTCATCTATTAAGTTGTTCTGTAGAAATACGGTCAATTTCTTCTTCAACACAAACAGTTCTGAACATAAAGCCGGTTGGTTAAAAGTGCTCACATGTTAAAATATTCAGATAATCCCAAGAGAGTCTTAAAGGCCCCAAATTTAAGTGTTTTTTCGTAAAGTTATTGAACTGTAGGTCATCTAACGGCAGAGTTCAAGTTCTATTAAGTTACTAAACAAATAATAAAGACATAAACAATCAACTAATTTTAGTTCAGCTAAGACAAGAAATAATTTGAAATTTGGAGTCGGAGTACAGTATTTTCATCCATATTACATTTCTGTGGAACTGAGAAAACTTGTAGAAGGGTTTTGCAACAAGTTATCGTATTCAAAACATGATCTGTTAATGTCCGCAATCGAATATTATTTATTTCAAAATTTGTCTGGGTATATATCCGCTAGTCTATGATGCATATTTTTTTGCCAACTGAGCTATTCCAAGCGGCTTCCCAGGAGTCCTTTAAGAGGAAACTTGACTTATTCTTAAGGACTAAGGATAACATATTATTATGATTTACCAAATTCTTTTTTTCCTCTATTATCGTTAATATACCTAGGTTCTTGCCTGGAGGTATTGGTGATCCACTGCTACTAGACACGGAAGCCAGTTAAGCGAAAGCTTCTTTTATTCCGTCCTCAACCATTTGAACTTTCAGTAATCAATAAAATCTGTATCTTAAGAGATTATAACGATACACTACTGATGCAAGATGAAAGTTGGGCTCTAAGTGATTTTTATTCCATTGGGTTGGAAGTTAAATTGTACTTTTATATAACTAGCGTTGTGCTGTATTTACACGCACTATTGTCTCTAGACAAATTAATGAGACTTAAAATATGTCTACTCGCTAAAAACCACCTATCATCTGTTAAGATAATCATGAAAGTTCTCAGCTAGCTAAAACGTATACTAAGTATTGTTTCTCGGCCTACCTCTAAAACCCAATTTTGAAGGCTAACGATAGCTATATCTACCCATATTACCTCTGGACTCATACAACTAACACTGAATAATAAGCTGATTTAGTCCCTAAATACACTTAATCAAACATATTAAGCGACTTTCACTAAAAGCTGTCGTACTTTATTGAATGCTTCTAGGCTTCTTGTTGCCTCATCTTCCAAAACGCGAATTCTGTTATGATTGAGTTCATGGTCTTCAGTTCTTTTGAAGTATTCACGTGCATCACAAGCAACACGAATGTTAGTTATAAAAGCGTCTCCATCGCGAATAAGTTTCGATATCCTTTTGCTACTCAGCTCGATCTGAGATCTCCCTAACCCAATATCTTCTTTGCTTGACTTGGTTTCATTAGAATGAACGTCACCTCTATTTTCAGTGTAAAAGAACAAAATGTATTATGAACTTGCCTTAAGCGCTCCAATCTGTTTTGTAGTTTTATGCGTCGAGCGGCAATCCTTTGTTGGATATCATCTGAATCTATTGAGGGTCCAACATCTTTTATCTCTTTCTCTTTGAAGTAAATGTTTTTATTTTGGTCATTCAAGGCCATTGTTTTGAAAAAGCTTCGAAACAGTTTCTATGATTACAGCTAATGTCCAATATGCTCAACAGACAATGTTTTTAGACATGTTTGTACAAATCACGTGATTTCTTTTTACTGTGCAATGGAAAGTAGTCTAGTCACTCGACTGTACTACTTTCAGTCGTTTAGATAGATATTTGTGGACTTGTACATTAAGCAGTATGAGTGAGTGTGTCCGAACGTGCATTATAGAATGTAAAACTTGGTGATTCGCAATAACTGCAACAACAAAGAGCATAAGTTGCATTATCATGTCGTTTTATATATATATAGTGGATATCCGGTCGAGACTATCGTTTAAAAATTAAGAACGTTAATGGCCGTGTGGGAATATGACAAATGAACAGTAGGTGAGGTTCGGGAACAAAACTATTACTACTAAATGGTTCAAAATGGTTGAGGACGGAATAAAAGAAGCTTTCGCTTAACTGGCTTCCGTGTCTAGTAGCAGTGGATCACCAATACCTCCAGGCAAGAACCTAGGTATATTAACGATAATAGAGGAAAAAAAGAATTTGGTAAATCATAATAATATGTTATCCTTAGTCCTTAAGAATAAGTCAAGTTTCCTCTTAAAGGACTCCTGAGAGGTCTCTTGAACTAGCTCAGTCGGCAGAGAATTCCAGCACTTGACAACTCTAACGGGGTATAAGTTGTGTCTGCAGTCTGTTCTGCTATGTAGGGTCTCCAATTTCTGGGTGTTACTTCCCAGGTTAGTGTTATAACTAAGCTTAAGAAGATGTTTAAGGGGATGACCAGAAGTATTAAGGATACTGTAAGTCATAAGAAGGTCACCTCTAAGATGCCTGTACTCCAACGGGTAAAGGTTAAGAGATTGGAGGCTCTCTTCGTAAAGTTTGAATTTGAGTCCCCGAACTGATTTCGTGGCTCGACGTTGTATACGTTCCAGAGTGTCCTTATCCTTTTGGAGAGAGGGAGGAAATACTATGTTTCCGTACTCTAAATGGGGACGAATAAAAGTGTTGAAGATTATGTGGAAGGTTCTACCGTCAAACTGGCCAAAAATGCGCTTCAATGTTACCAGTGCAAGGTTTTCTTGAAAGGCGTTTTTGTCACAGTTCGCGTACGATTTCAGGTCATAGGGTACCAACACTCCTAAATCTTTTTCGACTTGGGAAACTTCTAGAGGAGAGTTACCTAAGTTATAACTATAGTCTGCAACATGTCGCAGATGGACTAATTTGCACTTTGAAGTATTGAAGATAAGTCCGTTGTCATCTGCCCAACTTTGAAGTCGGGTCAGATCCTCCTGAAGAACTAGTATATCATTATGATTACGTATCTCTCTCCAAATTTTCACATTATCAGCAAAAAGCAATAAGTCATATGAAACTTGTTGAGGAAGATCGGTTATGTAAATCGAGAAGAGAAGAGGTCCTTGTGTTGAGCCCTGGGGGACCCCACTAGGACATTCCATAGCCTGAGAGAGAGTGAAGTTAACCCTGACCTTAAAATGTTGGTTTTCTAAATATGAAGATAGCCAATCAATGAAGGGGGATTTTATACCCAATCGTCTAAGTTTCTTGATAAGACATATATAGTTGACCCTATCAAAAGCTTTTGAGAAGTTCAGGTAGATGACCTCAACCTTCCCCTTGCCATCAAGGATGGTTATCCATCTATCCACCGCAGTCAGCAGGTTGATCATACGAGAATGACCTTTTCTGAAACCATGCTGTTGAGGTGAGAAGAACTTTGAGGATGATAAGTATTCTGGTATACCGTCGTATATTAGGGATTCCATAATTTTGGAAGGTATGGAGAGAAGGGCCACTGGTCGGTAGCTTGAGGGTTCACTGCGTCGACCTCCTTTGAAAATTGGTGTGATGTGGGCCAGCTTCCAAATTTCCGGTAGTTTGCCTCTGCTTAGCGAGTGTGCAAACATCACTACTACTACTACTACTACTACTACCGAGCATAATAATCCAAACTAACGCCCATGATGTTATTGCTAATGTTTGCAGACACTGGGTAGTTGCGACTTGCTTATACCATATTGCTAAAGATTAGCTGAAAGGTACACGGCAAAAATCACATTGTAACGGTAAATAAATCTACAAAATCAATAGCTCTGTAAGTGTTCGACATTGGATGCTGACCACATTAATTTTTATGGACTGATCTAGCTGAAGGTGCTCGGTCATGTATCCGAACCAGATCACGAGTGGGAACAGCGTGCTAAACTTCTCCTGCAATCACTAGCCAGTTTAGATCAATCACTCCTCGATATATTGATAATCTATCAAATGTATCTTCCAACCTCCTCGCTTTTGACTTCTGATTTCATTGGGTGAACGCGGTTAAGTGTTGTCAAACTACAATGCCTGTGGTGTCTTCTTTGGTGAGCCCGACGTGATCTGGTACACCAACCTACTAATTGTGAGTCTATTCCTTTTTGGAATTTCATGAGTCATTGCTTTATTTTAACTTTTATGCGTTGTGATATTTTTTCGATTTCTCGGATTTATTTTTTTCTTTTTTCATTATCATACTTGATTTTTCATTATGACGGGACAGACACCCAAGGTTCTTAAGTTAAAGACTGTGTCTCCACCTTCGCTTCAACTAATGCCCTTCTGGCCAGAAAACATCGAAGCCTGGTTCTGAATCACAGAGGCCGATTTCTATGAGCTTGGAATGACTGATTCACGTGCACAATTCATCGCGGATGTAAAGGCACCTCTGCGCGAATTCAACAGGTACGTCACACCTGGTTTGTTTGCTAGTGATGATTCGAAACCTTACGAAAGTCTAAAACGGCCCATTCTGAAATGCGGACATCTAACCGATCGACAAAGGTTAGATCACCTGCTTCATAACATCAACTTGCAAGATGGTTTCGCTACAGACATGTTGCTAAGAATGAGAAAGGTAATTGGCCAAAGAACTTTCGATGATGGCTCATTCAGACAACTTTTCTTGTCTAAACTTCCTCAACAGAGGCAAGCAGTTCTTGCCTCGTTTCAAAGCAGGGCCGTAGATGAGCTGCCTGCATCTGCTAACCGCATCACGAAATCTAGTGTCGAGGTTTTTTCAGTCAAAGAAAGACCTCAAACGACCCAAAATGACTGGTGATCGTATCATAACCAGTATGGGAAGTCTCCCAAAAATTGCAGAAAACCCTGCAATTATCCGAAACCCAAATCGACCGACAATAAAAACAATTCCGGAAACTTCCCAGCCGGCACGAGTTAACGGCTACCGTAGCCGGAGAACATAGACGTCTGTTATACGTCACAGATATGATCGCGAAAGTTCGCTTTCTCCCCTATACTGGCACAGAAGTTAGTGTTCTTCCTGCAAATTCTGATCACCGGCTTCACAGATCTGTTTTAAACGTACAGGCGGCAAATGGAAAGCCGATCGCTACTTATGGGAAAAGGTACGTTTACCTCAACGTGGATTGACGCAAACCCATTCACTGGATGTTCTTTGTTGCAGATGTTTCTATGGCAGTCTGTGGAATAGGTCTCCTACAACACCATAATCTACTCATCGATACGTGCAAACGGAGGCTGGTAGACGGAGACACTAATTTATCTATTTGTTTAACTTCTTTTCACGGTTGCAGATTATTCTCAGTCACAACTAGGCACATAATAGATCCACTTTATCAACCATTACTCGATAAGTACCAACTGCAACCGAGATCGCCGTGTGTGGCCAGCAATATTACACGTTACAACGTGACTGCTGGACCACCTGTATTCACAAAAGCACGCCGACTGGCTCTCGACGAGTTGAGGCTGTCTAAAAACGAGTATGACCACATGATAGAGTTAGGAATCATTTGAACGTCAAACAGCCCGTGAGCATCTGCTATGCACATGATCCCTAAAAAAGACAGCAGCGATTGGCGTCCAACTGATTACTATCGGCGTTTGAATCCAAAAACCATTCCCGATCGTTACCCTTTACCTCACATTCACGATTTGACAGCTACCTTGAAAGGTACGACAGTCTTTTCGAAAATCGACTTGGTTAAATCCTATGACCGAATCCTCATGGCTACTGACGATATTACGAAAACTGCAATCACCACTCCCTCCGGTCTCTACGAATTTTTACGAATGCCTTTCGGCCTAAGAAACGTTGCCCAGACTTTCCAAAAATTCATAGGTGACATTTTTCGAGGTCTCAACTTCATACATGCGTATGTTGATGACTGCCTGATAGCAGGTCCGGGCAAAGAATCCCATCTCCAGCATCTGGACATTTTGTTTGAACGACTTCAAAGGCATGGCATTACTGTAAACATTCAGAAATGCTATATCGGAACCAACTCCTTAGATTTCCTAGGACACACTATTGTTGCACAAGTCATCAGACCTATTGGAAGCGAAATGGAGGTCATTCTGGATTACCCAGAACCGATTAAGCATCTGAGCACATTTAACAGTCTTGTAAGTTTATATAGACGATTCATACCGAAATGCGCGTCCCTTATGAAACCGTTAATCGACCAACTTCCTGGAAATGCGGAATCTATGACTTGGACGACCCCGCGAGAAAAGCATTCCCTATAGTTAAGGAACACATCGCTAAGGCAATCTTGCTGCACATCTGAACACGCCCATTAATATAGCAGTAGACGCATCCGACTCAGCGATCGGAGGAATCTTACAACAATGGGTTAACCCTCCTGGCAACCTTCTGCATTTTTCTCCAGACGGTTGCTAGACACTGAATCTAAGTACATCACTTTCGGTAGGGAACTCCTAGCTATGTATTGTGCTGTACGGCACTTTCAGCACTTTATCGTAGGCCGGGAATTCACCTTTTTTACCGGTTATAAACCTCTTACTTTCTCTTTGACCTCATCCTCAGACAAGTACCTCGAGAGTCTCGACAACTGGACTACATTTCGCAGTTAACTTCAGATATCCAACACATTTTTAGAACAAACAATGCAGTTGCAGACGCCTTGTCTCTTACAACTTCCTTGAACAGTTTCGCCCAGC